CGTTGTTACATAATGAAACAAGATTTCACCTTGATTTATAACTGGCGTTGTTATACAATGAAACAGGATTTCACCTTGTCTTATAACTAGTGTTGTAACATGATGAAACAGAATGCTAGCTGTGAGCGCCGAAATTGCAGCACCGGCTGTATGCTACCCAGGGAGTTGAGAAATATATTGGCTGGTTGCAAAGGCCCTATAACCACGGATCATAATGTGTGAATCGCTTTGAGACGACCTACGAACTAGGTTGTGATAAAGCGGTATATAAAAAGCTCAAATTATTTTGATTTTATTGTCATATAATACACCAAGCGTAATCATAAACTATTTAACATGATTCCTCGTACGGCTCTAAATAGTATTAGGACTTAGTCCTTGAATATACCGAACATTTTGAAAATCAACTTTTGGAATTCAGTATTGTTCGCGTGACCAGTACAAGGTGACCCTACGGAGGACTTTGAACGATCGTAAATGTCTGTAGTCTCTGTGTGGTGGGTCACCTGCACAGAATACCTGTCTGATCATGACGTTAGTAATAGTATTGAACTGCAAGAATATCTAGGGATGGTGATGCAGTTTAACATAAAATCGCTAGATTGGTTTATTTATGAGTACTTCAATAAATAAATACACCTGTTCTGCAATACAAAGCGTTTATATGATTTGTTATAAAGAATAACAGTAAGATTTATTCGGAAGTTTATTTTCTATCCTTAAAAGACATATTTTCAAAATATATTTAAAGGAAAAAGAAAATCATGAAAATTATTTCAGAAAATGAAACTAAAAGGAGAATTTGTTTTCGTTTTTTAGATAATTACTTCCAAAGAGTATAATAGTTTTAGCTTATCGAAGCGAAATATAACAAGGGATGCAACTATCGATGCCGTATTTGTTATATACGATAACTTTTCAGAACAATAACCCGTGACCAGCCAGCAGGGAGATACGCGTGTACATTGCTCGACAATAAAACGAATGCGAAATCCTATGTTTTGTGCAAAATCATTTTGCTTTTATCAGAACTTTATAGACAGTTAATCAATTTTATACTACACCGTGTTGTCTGTCTTTTAAAAATTCAATTAAAAGGGATTACCACGATGACTGTTGGGGTATTTCGGTATATACTGAATAAAAAACGAATGAATACATTTTTGTTCATAAAGATCTTATTTAAATATCATAACTTTCGTAACCTGGTGCATTTGAGCTCAATGTAAAGATTCCTTTCACTTTTGCGTCAGTAAAATACTTTGGGTATACGGTTCGAAATATTAATTATTTAATTGTACAACTACACCGATTTACAAGTACATATAGGTAGACATATTACCTTTATCCTTTCTTGTTTAATGGACATTTCTCACATATATGCAAATTGCATAAAAGGTATCTGGCGTTTGAATGTTTGCGATATGAGATACATTTGTCTTGACCAAACTGTCCCACCCTTATAGATACGAATTTGATGACTTGACCACACACTCCGGACAACAGGCCAGTATGATACCTGTTTGGTCTCTGATAGGGACGATTGTTTACCTGGGGCTGTGCTAACGTATACGCTCTAGTCTGTGATTAGACACAAAGGTACACATAACTCATCGACACTTCCGCCCACACAAGTACCTGTCGTCCAGGACTCTCAGAACTACGTTGAATTAAGATGTTGTCTCTCCTAAAATAGTGGCCATATACTTATATAGGTCATAGCAGAGGATGATTCTGCAACTTATGTGATTTTTCGTTCAAAAGATTCAAATTTATCCACTGTCTTCAAATAAGTATTCCTTTCGGTAATATAATATTATCAATAAAATGTAAAAAGTCAAATATGTATTTTTTAATTTGTACTAGTTTCCTCCTTCAAATTTAATTGTGCAAAGCAATTTCTATGATATTGATTTTGGTTAAAGCTAACGTAATCAACATTTATAGAATATAAGATATTTGATTTATATGAAAAATGATTGAAAACAAACAATTTTTCATAAAACAGTTTATATACCACACCAATACATGTACACGCTTTGTATGACCTAATATGTGAACGTGTTATTGAAGTACCCATTATAAAACCAAACCGGCGATGTTTTGTGGAGTGCATCACCTTATCTAGGTATTCGTGCATTTCAATACTGTTTATAAAGTCGTGATCAGACAGGTATTCTGTTCGGGTGACCCGATAGACAGGGACTACATACATTTACGATAGTGAGCAGGCCTCGGTAGGGTCACCTGGTATGTTAACACTTTAGATTGTGAAATATTTCACCGATAACAATACCCACCATATAACATTGTCCCACTTCAAGGACACGCATGCTAAAACACATTTATTAGAAATACGAATATTTTTAGTTCAAAAATAAAATGATCATACGTTTAAAAATGTCTGATTTGTCTTGTCACTGGTATATTAACACGTTAGATTGCAAAATATTTCACTGATAATAATACGCGCCGTATAAAATCGTCCAACTTCAAGGACACGCTTGTTAAAACGCACTTAATTGAAATACGATTATATTTACTTTAAAAAATGAATTAAGCACATGTTTTTAAAAACATCTGATAAATCTTCGAATTAAATTTTGATGCCTTATAATATTCACAGATATTTACAGCAATATAATACTTTTATTGTTTTTTGAAAATATTTTGATAATGCTAGGTGTGAGGGAAGGTGAAGCTTTATATGGGTTTAACATCCTCGTATAACCCAGTGATATATGAAATTGAGTGATAAGCAGACACCGATAGAAAAGGGACGGTAAGGAAAATGGAAATAATTTCCAAAACGCAGCAATGAAGGAAGGGGTGAGCAGTGTCGTAATGCCTGTGTTCTATGGAGGATATACAAAAAGAGCTTCCCTTGGCCCAATTCTGTATGATACCCCGCATAATTTGTGACAACAAAAGTGAAGCCCTGTTTCTCAGTTAATAACAATGAGTGTAAGGCAAGCTGATGCCCAGTTTCATCAGTTAATAGTGTTGGATGTAAGACAATGGGAGGCCCTATTTCATCAGTTTATAACGATGGGTGTAAGACAAGATGAAGCCCTGTTTCATCAGTTAATAACGCTGGGTGTAAGACAAAGTGATGCCCAGTTTTACCAGTTAATAACGATGGGTGTAAGACAAAGTGATGCCCAGTTTTACCAGTTAATATTGCTGGGTGTAAGACAAAGTGATGCCCAGTTTTACCAGTTAATAACGATGGGTGTAAGACAAGATGAAGCCATGTTTCATCAGTTAATAACGCTGGGTGTAAGACAAGGATGCCCAGTTTAACCAGTTAATAACTCTGGGTGCCTTGGTACATTAGCTGTAACATACATAAAGCCGTGTTTCAAAAGCATTGTCTTTAGCACTTAGCACGGGGAACAGTTCTTTCATTTTAACAAGAATAGAACTTCAAAGCTAAAACAAATTAATAAACATGTACAAAGAAAATAAACGTCATATAACGCCTTTCTATTTTGCCGTGAGCGTTAATATCTATTTGCCTCTGAACATTAAAAAGGATTCGTTACATACTTATGTAAGTACTGTTGTATCTCCAGTTTGTGTTACTCTTTTTTTAAAACATAATGGTTTGACACACAACGCGGGGGAGTCAGCATCCATAATGTATTCTTTAAAGCTATAAAGGAAAGTAAGAAATGTAACTGTGTACATGCGGTGTGTTCATGGCGTCATGATTGTATATACTGAACGGGTTATTCGTATTTTGACTGTACCTTAGACAGGGTTCACTCCTTGGTGTATATATATGACATCCGGACAGACCAGCTAGTATATGTTTACACATAGCCTACTTATATCGATCGCCCCCACGAAAGGCAAATACAAAATGTCAATTTACATGTTTTGTTTGACCAGAAGTGACTAAACCTCACATTAAACCGACCTTTAAGCCTATGAAACATGGTAATTGATTTCGATCGAGGTCAAAAGTGTGGTGACTTGTTGTATTGTTAGTCTGACAATTGGACACGTTTCTGTCCCCACATACTTTAGATGACAAACTGATATCGCCACTTAGTTAGCTCGTGATTGTGAGACATTCAACGAGATGCACCAATTATATATGTACATATGGCGTTTACGCCCTTGAGATGTAAAGTGGACAGACGTTCAATGACCGATTGACCAAGTCATGGCTGTCCTAATAATGGGTTGTTGTCTGCATTGTCTGTTACTTGTGCAATTATATAACGGTCACTTCTGAGTTCAATAACAACATGAAAGCATGAACCTTTTATCAATTAAATCATAATGAAATTGCTTCATCAAAGGAACTGCTATTAAAACATTAGATAAAACATATTTAGATTAAATATCATGAGGATGCCTGAATATTGTATTCATCTATGACAAGAGATATGCCAGCTGATCTTGAATACATTACAAGCTTGACCTTCCGTTTTTGCCAGATACTTCGCTCTGAATATATTGAAACAAACAAAGAAAGGGGCATATACTTAGCAATGCATACAATCGGGGCCAGAATTAAATAATACGATCAATTAAATTTGTAATACATATATTTATTATAAGTTATATTTATACCATTTAATGTAACTGTCTCTTGTTGTTGATAAGGAAGGCTTGAAAGTAGCAAAACTCTAAAGGAGCTTTGTTTTTTTTCCATTTTTACTTTATATCTATCCTGTATATATACGCTCTGTTTGGCATTGCTATCCCTTTTAAATCCCTTTTTTACCGAGTTTTATACTACTACAACTATCAAATCGGCAAATCAAAATATATTTTAATGCAATGACTGCTAAATCACTAAACAATTACAAAATATTTTTGCAAAAATGGTTGAAATATGGTTTCAAATATTTGTACATAATAAAATATCGAAAATAACTTCTCGCGTGAATTCATATATTTACAATAATCTACCCATCTGGACCATAGTAAGAGGTGTTACTGTATCATCATTGATTACTAAATGCATTTCCTCTCTTACCTGACAGGTCAAGAGGTCACTGACCAGTGGTACAGCGAGGTCAAGATGTACACGTTTGGAAAGGAGCCGACATCTACGGGCACAGGTAATTGTTATATATTATAATCTACCACATGCACACGTAATTGGTATATCATAATGTACCACAGGCACAGATAATTGGTATATTATAAAATACCAACACACACAGGTAATTGGTATATTATAATATACCACAGGTACAGATAATTGGTATATTGTTATAAACCACTGTACCAATGAACGAATCAAATTGAATTCATCGTCTATACAACTACTGCAGATTAATTTCTCCTTCCGTTTACAGACGACATTATCTACACTGTAGATTACACTGTATGAATAATTCCTTACGTGGCGTAACTCCGTTTGATGAATTACATAAAAACATGATCACCTATAATTTGCAATAGTCGGCCATTTTGTTCACAAATGTCGGTTTCAATGTCATAATTGATCGAATGTTACAAAAAGTCGCACCTCTTATTCGGCAAATATCTTCCAACGAAACCATTTTCTTGCCGCCTGATTCGTTATTTTTTTATAGTTGCTTAGCTATGTAGGCTATATATATAAAAAATGGTAAGAAGGAAACATCATAAAAGTACCCAAGTACTCACGAACTGCAACAACTGGAGAGGTATCACCCTTTTACCAATTACAAGTAAAATATTTACAAAAATACTTACAGACAGGATTGAAGCAGACATTGACAACAAACTAAGGAAGCAGGATTTAGAAAAGGAAAGAGCTGCTTTGACCATATCTTTGTACTAAGAAATATCATTCAACAGTGCACAGAATGGCAGAGATAACTTATGATAAACTTCGTAGATTTCGAAAAAGCGTTTGACAGTTTACACCGAGATAGCTTATGGACGATCTTACGAAACTATGGAATACCAACAAAAATAGTACAACTTATACAAATGTTTTATACAGACTTCACATGCACTGTAGGTACTTCACCAGACACATTTTTTTTCGTGTAAAATCCAGAGTTAGACAAGGCTGTGTCATGTCATCCCTTTTCTTTATAATAGCCGTCTATTTGATGATGAAATCAACCTTAAGCCATAACAACACAGGCATCAGATGGAATCTTGAGACACATATGCAAGACAAAACCACAAAATTACAAGATAATGCAAGTATGGTTGGACTAAAAATCAATATAAAGAAATCAGAAGGCATGCCTCTTAACATCTCAGAGCCTCCTGAAATTGTCGTGAATGAGACAAATCTGGAATGCACCTCCAAATTCACCTACCTGAGAAGCATAGTTACATCAGACAGGCGAGCAGACAAAGACATCAGAGCAAGAATTGGTAAAGCTAGAAATGCATTCTTAAAGTTACGTAACATATGGAAGTCTTGTAACATCAGCAAGAACGCCAACGTTAGACTATACAATAGCTGTGTACTATCAGTTCTTCTATATGGGGACGAATGTTGGAGAATGACAGAAAAAAGACATCAACAAGCTCTCCAGTTTCCATAATGGATGCCTCAGAAAGTTCATGAGGATGTTTTGGCCGTGTACAATCACCAACAGCAACCTCCATAAAACAACAGGATCTAGCAACATGGAGACACTACTGAAACCAAAGCGATGGGGAAGAATTGGCCATGTTCTGCGTAGACCACCTGAGGACATGACCAGAGTTGCCCTAAGATGAACACCAAGGGGAAAAAGAAAAAATAGGACGCCCAAAAACAACCTGGCGAAGAACAGTTGAAGCTGAAACGAAAGAGCAAGGAATCAGCTGGGGCATCATTGAAAAGACAGCACAGAATAGAGAGGAGTGGAAGAAACTAGTCCTTGCCCTTTGTGTCTTCGGGCATAATAAGGACTAGTAAGTAAGTAAGTAAGCTATGTGATGCGTTGTAACATGAATATCGGGCATTGTAGATAGTTTGAGTTTACCTATGTTCCACAAACATCTTTATGTTGCAATGCTGTATTTAAAAATCGCCTAAAAAGTAAAACTTCAGAGTTTCGTATTCCGAATTGCTGTGTCGAATTTCCTTGTCCTATTACAATCGGGGGGAAATGAGAGTGATCAAATGCATAATGTAAAAATGTTGGCAGGTCATTTCACGCAAGTGGTATGGAAAGGGAGTGACGAGATTGGAGTTGGAAAGGCGAGGACAAAGGATGGCAAGATACTAGTGGTGGCCAACTACAGGCCGGCCGGAAACATGACGGGCTCCTTCCGGGAAAACGTACTTCCTCCCAAGGACGGGAAAATCGAACTTCCGGCAGCTAACGGTGAGATTTGTAAATTGTTTATTACAATTGTGTTTGCTCGTTAGCCGTCATAAACGCCATTACTATAGAAAACTAACTCGAGGATATTTATCTAGGAATTTACATTTCCTTTGGATTGTAAACCGACGGTTACATAGACGGACCTTTCCTAGAGACGGAACTTGGATTTTATCCATAGAGACGTGTTAAGTAGATAAATAACCGGTTTGCAAACGACTCCTTACGTTAATGTTTTTATTCGCTAAAGTATGACAACATAAATGAGGTCACTTTCATATGTGAGTATTGATATTTTTCCGATCGAATTCATGGTAATTCTACAATGAAAAATATGCTCATGAAGAATTTATTTTGGCTTTACAAAAACAATGCCTATTATCATAATAGGGTAATAAATCAAAATTAACTACATTTGTATCAAAAGTCATTAACTTCATGACATACATATACAATTTGAATATGTGATATATTTTCATCATTAACTTAAATAATTCATGCATGTCTTTAGGATAAAAAAAAAATCATGCATATCTTTGGGATCAAAATTGACATATAGTATAATTTAACTGCCGATATATTTCTACACATAAAACAAAAAAGGAAATTAAATCTAACTTATGCACCAGCTAGCTGATAAAGCTTGTTTTTGTAGACCAAATACCCTCTAAATCACATTTGACAACATAAACAGCGAAATTAATCCACGGTCAATTTCGTTTTGAATAAATCTTGGTGTGGGTCAAAGTTCTCCCGTTATGTGCTGCCGTTTTGTTCGGGCTGTCATCATAGTACATTGTATGTTGTCGACGCGTTTGATTAACGCGATAACTAACTTGCAATTGATACTGCTCTATATAATGTTTTCACTATACCATATATGGCATATTTCTTTGTTCAAAGTTAGAAACCATGAAATAGATTCTATTCGCTGAATAGATATGCCGTTAACATAACCTACAAACCATTACCGGTATAAATGAGTAAGATGAAAACACGATAATGCTTGCAATTTCTATCATATTGAATTTAATTCACAATGAAAGGTTCAGATAATATTTTTTTCATTTTTTTTTGTATACAGCGTTTCCCTTGACTCCTATTTCCTGTATATTACTGTAAAATAACGTATTTCATTGTAAAACATTTTTACAAACCTAGGACTTCTCTCCCTCCTCTTTAATTGTTTTCTCCTAATGTTTAGAAACGACCCCCGTCTTTGATGCAATGAGTCACAGCCACTCATTGTACAAAAGAGGAAATCTTTATGTATTGGAGGTAGATAAATCCACTTAAATGTCGCTATGGTGTGTTCCGACTAAATAATTACATGGCTTTAGGGACGAATACCGTATGATGTTTACACACAGATTATTTGCCCTTCGATCCAAATACCTCTGTCTCTACTTGGTCAATCTTTATCGTTTTATTGAACTTGTTATAATTTCTGACGAGGTATGACGCTTTGACCGACCACGCTCAGGTAAAAATCCGGGCGTCCCCAATCGCAGCACGCCTTTACTATATCTGCGTGGGTTGAGAAATAGGTACAAAGTTTAAAGGATTTCCGTCGGAATTTCATTCGGACCCCTTTGGATTAAGATCGATCACGTAAGGGTAAGTTAAGCATCTTGAAGTACTATAACTGAGTGTTAATGGTATGGCTACAAATTAAAACGCGTATTAAGAAAATGTTGTCTTAATGACATATGTGTCATATTGATCTTTGCTTAGGTTTCCTGTTCAGAATCGCGCGCTAAGTAATTCCTTTGATGCATTTTCATTTACTTTTCCAAATTGAAAACAATTAATTTTCAAAGGAAAAAAAACAAATCCTTCTTTTGTCGAATAAAATGTCTGTAAAACAATCATATTTTTTCCGTTGACCTGTATGCTTAAGAGTTTGTATAATCTGAAAAATGCTGGAGTCTGAAGTGAACTAAGAATTTTGTTTTCAGCAATACTTTATGAAACTTATGTTAAAGGATTCCTTCAAGTTTACACCCTAATTAATTTTCCTACATGTTTTTTGTTCTTTTCCCGTTAACAAACAATTGTAGAAAGCTTTTTAAGTTTGTAAGGTAAACATATTTGTTATCGAAGTTACAAAAAAACATCTCCTCCTCTGATTTTGGATAGTAGCGCTTTCACACGCAAAGATCACAGGACATGTACGAAGTCAATTGTGCGTTTCTCCATAATTATATTCATGATAATGAGCCTGACCTACTTTTCTTTTTTATGATCGTGCAGATTTTTTTTTATGATACGTGTTTTCGCGTTTTATACTCAATATTGTTCTAGAAAGATGCCATTAACTTCAAATAGAAGATTTGAGATATGATTATCACGTATCATCATAGTCTCCGTGTTGTATATGAATCTTGATGAGTAATGCTGTTAAAACACCTTGTTTGCTGGTTATGTATTGTTGCTGGTTTTTGCACATCAGCAATGGGATGGATGACACTGTGTTCCACCGCCAGCTGGTTATAAGAGATGGTCTTCTCTTTGTATCATAGTTTGGGTTTGCTAAAATATGCAAGTGTCAGTGCGCGCGAACAACAAACAAAATGGCGACAAGGCAACACCATACAATAGAATACATAATTTCATTCAATTTTTCATTACGCCTATCGAAGTTTTTAGCAATTGTATATGACTTTATATTTAAAACGCTAATGAGACGGCAAGCTTGTCACGTGACAATATCAATTCGATTTCAAATACTGATCTCTGATTAGAAAGAGCAATAAAATAATTTAAACAAAATGGTGGCACACACTCAAACCAATTGGACGTAAATTGAGATTTATAACATCAAAACGAACATTACTAAAATAGTCCATTGTAATATTCTGAGTAATTCTGAACAATGTCAGATACAAATATAGAAAATTAATCAGAGCAATTGTTTGAGGATAGTGACAATATGCATGTATTTATCACGTTAAAAGATAGGTCAAGTACAACGAAGGCTGCTAGACAAAGCAAGGCAGGTCGTCACGTGACTTCCACATGTATAACACATTTCCCCTAGTAAACATTTTGCGTTATTGGACTAAATTAGGTTTGCTTTGTATCCACATAGCTTGAGAATGGTCAGGTATTATCATATTGTTTGACCAGCCTGTCATGGATGTGTACCCTTCAAAAGCATTCAATATTGATCGTCATTATCGTCAGTACCATATGTCGCACACCAACACGCAAATTCACTGAAGTATCAAAATAATAAATACTAGATTTCCGTTATAATGTACCTGCCACTGACAACAAAAGCGAGCACCGAACGACATCTCGGCTTGTGTAAATTGTAATTACCGTATGTCAGCAATTCATTGATAACATACTTATCTCATAATTCAATATTTCGCTCTCTAAATATAGCTGCCAAGCATTAGAAAGCGACATAAACAAATCTTCATGGCCTTTCCCTTGTGTTGCAATTTACAATATATGTAAGCAATTTATAAATTTCATTAGTTAAACCTGCCGTCAAAAAATGACTGTTTGCATTTAGTTCTTACTCTCACTACTGAGTGACTGAGACTGTTAGTCACATGTTGTAACCAGGTCAATGGTTTATTGATTTCCGAGCCCCAGTACATAGTCCTCATTGGTCATGCATAACTACCCGACACATCAATATATACGTGTACTAACATAACGTAGGCCTGGTGAGGCGTATTGTCAGGGTGTGCTAGCTCTTACAGGGATATACTTTGTGGACCGGCAATACAAAACGTAAGTACTTTCCTAGAAATTTATATGTATATCCATGCATATCTATGTTCTCGTTTCGCCAGGTGTAGGAATACTTAGATAAAGTCACAGAACGAATCAAATCGTGATTGTTTGTTAGAACATCTCCTGTTTTTATTTTTCCTTTAGGTACAACTACACAAGCCGCAGTGGTATTAGAGTTATATACAAACATAAATTAATGATAAGCTTTCATCTTTTTGCGCTGGGGTTAAAGTTTAGTGACTAAAGAAAATGCAAATTCAATATATTAATAAGAAGGCCCATGTTCATGTCCCGTAAATTATGTTTGATGAATAATTTATATTCCATGATAAGATTCTTATTGTCCTCTCGGACAGACGTAAACACATCACCATTTTTCATCGCCATTAATCAACATGATCTCTACAGTATTCGAAGTTTATTAAGTTTCCATGGTTTGATTGTTAAATTGTCGTACACTATGAATATATTAATGTATAATTGAATCCTTCACAAGGCATATATACCTACTGAAAATGTATGCTATATTATTTGTTTTCCCTCAGAATATTCATGCTTCTTATGAATGTTATATTTTTTCTTTGTGTGTTTACATTGCATATTTGTCTAGTGCATTGATGCTGCGTTTTTTATGAGCTGTCCAATTGACTGTTTGCATTTAGTTCTTACTCTCACTACTGAGAGTGACTGAGACTCATAGTCACATGTTGTAATCAGGTTAATGGTTTATTGATTTCCGAGCCCCAGTACATAGTCCTCATTGGTCATGCATAACTACCCGACACATCAATACCTGTACTAACATAACGTAGTGTCCATGGTTTGAATGTTACATTGTAGTACATTATCTATCTGTATAATTTAGGTCTTTACAAGGCACATATTCAAAACCTTCACGAAACTGTTCAGCATCATATATATATTGCTCCCAAATTATCTAATTGTATTTATCACGATCGTATTATGGCACAGAATCAGCATCAGTGAATTAATCTTAAAAGTTAACGACAATAGAGGGTCTGGTTTCTATGCTTTTTCTCTCTCGATATATTCGTCCTGAAGTTGTTAATCATCTTAAATTATCTCCAATTTTCCTGATTTTCAGACGCACCGAGTGTGGAGCACAAGCAGGGATCTGGTCCATTTTCTAGTCGGTTCGAAAATAAAGATATTCCCTCAAATATGGCAAGCAGAGGTGGTGAGTCCCGTTCTGTCCGTACATTCACGGAAACGTCGGGAAGTGGTGCTAACAAGGTAACGAAGACGGTTGTCGAGGAAACCATCATCAAAGCAGATGGTAGCAAGACCACCAACCGGAAGGAGACCATTACAACCGGGGATTCTGGGTCATGTTCATCGGATATGAAGTCAATTGGCCACCATGATAACAAAGAAAAAGACAAAAAGGATAAGGGAGGCGCCTTTGGGGTAAGCATTTCAAGACACTCTAGTATTGCATTTCTGCAGTTGACGTAAGATTTTTATTTTTCATTACTTTTCTTGTTGCAAATTTAAGACGCTTAAATTAAGTTCAGAACGCATGTAGCTTATTTCTTATTCAAGAAAAAGATCATACTTGTTTTATATCATTTTTGTTATTTGATATCTTTAAAAAAATATCTATTCTTAGCGAGTTTACATATCAAAGCTATTTTTAGCTATTAAAAGTAAAAATAAGTTCACTTAAGCTGGAACACTAGCACTGTCATGTGAAAATGCCTGAACAAGGTGCAACGCTTTTAAAAGCAAATTAAATTTAGATTCGCTATGGGCTAGATGGCGATATTCACCAACATACTTCAGGGTTGTCAATTAAAGTACGATAACCAATGTATATTTAACTGATGTATAACAAAGGGTTCGTGCCAAACTTAAAGCATTAATAGTTTTATTAGTTGTGTAAATGTTTATACATACATCAATCGTTGTGATAAAATAGGAAACCTCGTAAGTGTCCAGTAAACGTAAATAACTAACAATCGTGTGACGTTCTCCCTCCATATACACACACATAAAAATAAATTAAAGTATATATCCTATTAACAGTTTTACAATAAACTACCTTTAATTAGAAAATATCGAACAGTTTAAAAGATATTGTAAGTCATTACTTTGACTTGAAACAAACTCCGTGATTTGCCAGGAGTCGCCATATTGCACAGTAACACACGACCCTAACTGCAGGTAATGTCATTTTATCGTAGGGTTATATTGAAAGGAAGTCTTTCCCACTGAACTTTCTGCCTTAGGTATACATACTATCAACTTATTATTTAGTAGAGCAGGTAATATAAGGTAGTGCTATTGCACTGCCACCACTGTTAAAGCTATACATAATATAAATTTATTAGCGGATGGAGCAGGTAATATAAGGCTGTGTTACCCACTTCCATTTCTGTTTTAGCTATACATACTATCAGTATATCGCAGGTGGTGATATATGTTCGTGTGGACAAGGCATAGCTGATCAAATATCTCCCTGACTTATGATCTCCTTGACTATTCTCCTTCAAATAAGTTGACAAACATAACTCGATTGTAAAGACGATAGAAAGAGACCCATAAAGACAAAGTAGGTCAACCACACTGTTCACACAGTCAAGTTATTTTACAATACACGGATTACTTACGTATAATGTTATACATTTTTTTTCTTTTCTGACTTGTGTAGTTGGAATGTTTTTTAATCAATTTAAGAATTAAAACCGGTGAAGCTTTTCGGATTATCATCAGGAGCTTTATTTACAAAGTTAATCATACGTCCCGGATTCTCTCTAAATTTAATTTACAAAGACATTTAATCGAATATAATTCTACGTTGTCCTTTTTTATAAAAACTAAAAACACGAATGAAATGATCACATGTAATTTATTTCAAGTAAACTTAACGGTAATGATATATTCTAACATGATTATCTATTTACTTAAAAGATTAACGTATGTCATAATTGTTACAGTTAGTTACAACCATTCCTTAAGAAACTCAGTATTGTTATCTTATATATCTATACTAGCATTGTTACCAGTGATCTAAACGTAATGTTGTAGGACGAAATGAGCTCAGACAGACATAGCTTGCTCTATATTCCGACCGACAATCCATTTAATGAGGATTAGAAATGTGGTTCGAATGTAAACTATGTGTTATGCTGCCTATAAAAATATTTCAAAGTTGACAAAGTTCGGTGTAGGCATTTAAATACGTGTTTTAGTCAGTAACGTACATAATAATACTATTTATTGGGGGAGTAAGCTCTTTGTTAAGGACTGATATATTGTAGCTAAAGGCCTTAACACACATTACCCTCCGGTCGTTCCAAAGAGCTCAAACAAAAACACATCCAATAGAAAAAATAAAAACTTGAAACCTTTCATGCATGTTTCAGGGCTTATACACATGTATTTAAACTCGGTTGGTATCGCTGATTTTGAATCACACTTAAATTAGTAACGTGTAAGGGTAGAAAAGGTAATAGATCAATCTGAAATGAGTTCCGGATTAATTAAACTAATCACAAGTACACGTATGTCCTTATACAGGAGTTATAAATCCAGTGTTTCATATCACACTATCATTTTATGAAATAAACAGCCAAGCCGTATTTCTGTCTATAGTTAAAAAAAACAAAAGTCGATACAAATATTTTTAGTTCTCAATTTAACAGTTTAAATAGACACGTTTGACTTACATAACAGAAAATGGCATTTTTTTAAATAGTTTTTAGAAAAAGTTAAGGAAACCTCGTATATTCCTTTGATAGAATAAGATATGAACAAGCATACACCCCCGGTCCGTATAGATGGTTTAACTGCTAGCAAGAAGTGAAAAGCCCTCGCCACAATCGCGAAGGATTTAAAAGCTAATCCGTTGACGTCTATATGACGTTTAGCTCGGAGGATTTTCATTTGGTTCTGTAAATCAATAGCAGTATTGCTTAAGTGTTGGAAATTCGCTATGTTTCATAAGCAGGCCTGAAAATACTATTTCTTCTTACGTTTACAAGAATGAGACGGACAAACGCTGAACATCTCATTTACAAGGTGTTTGCATAATGCCTTACACATTTGTATATATGTTTACGAAACTCTGGAATAATCATTATACATGTATTGTATTTCGAGTTAGATTGAATTTGCGAATAACCTAATGTAAATGTTTATACTATTATTTTAAACAGTTTTACTGTCATTTATCATTTATTACCTAATATACACTTACCGCAGTATCGCCTTACACAATTGCGGTGTATTATGATCCGATGTGTTGCATTCAAGAATGCCTCACACTAGTTTTCGGTGGTGTCAGACAGTCGAATTAATGAAATCAATAAGAGTACATACTAGTCTGCGGTTACAGCGTGTCGAAATGTCTGATAAACATTGGCCTTGCTATTGTCTAGTGGCCTTTGACCCCTGTTCAGCATCACCATATAGTTCCCCGTGGTCAGCGGCTGTATCGCAATGAAATGCAAAACCGCAATTAGTGTAAGATGTTGATCGGATTGGGTGTACATTCTAACACCATAAAACGATCAGATATAAGTCTAAGTGCTCCTCTTTAGTATCTTACGTAACATCATCACGAACAACCATGTTGACCAGAAAGTGTTATGCTAGATGTACAATTTTGTACATTGCACAGTACTATTCCATTTAAGAGGTTTGACACAACGTATGATCAATTACTTCGGTTTTGTTTACATTATTTTTGCCTAATTGCTATAAATAAATTAAATCAATGGAAAACATTCAGAATCAAATAATATTCAACTAACAATTGTTTCAAAAAATGAATTTGAAACATAACTGCGGGAGTTATTTCCCTTTAAATGAATAATTCTATTGAACTAAAACACACTCACCGTTATCATCTTATTCCAAAATAACAGCTAATTTTTATTGTATGCTTATCAGGCAGACATACCTATCGAGGATCTCCGTATAAAGGACGATGACGTAAGTTAAAGTGTTGTGTCACGTGGGGTTTGACCACGCGCCTTTTCGTTGGTGACGGTATTGTGTGTATGATTTCATTACACAAGTTATGTAAACTAACGTTTTTGTGTGCACAATGTCATGTTTTGTTGTGAATAACATCACAGGTTTTGTTTTTAACCTCACCCATTGTTGTTTATTTATATCGGCACAAGTGGAAGTTCTTTTCCTAAAAAAACGATTTACAGTTTCACCAACTATAACTCATTCTAAACTAACCATCAATAACTTCTTGTTATGATTCACGTAATAATGTCCATGATATCAGGGTTTTCGTGGATGCGAGTGGTAAATTTCATCAACAAAGTTAAGGCTTTGCAACACCTTTTTATGCTTCATACCATCAAAAATACAGTAGTTATAAAGAGTTATGAATGCATACTAACAATAGACATTTAAAGAAACCCAAACAAACAAAATCGTTGAGAGTTGCTTCCCTTTCTAGTTTTTACATGTATCCATTATAACAAACGATTGTTTTTATTACGATAACAAATATCACATATATCATAACCAGCATGCTTATATTTTATAAAAGATATAACGTTATATATATATATTTTTACTACACTAATACTAATCCGGTAGCTTTTGTGCTTCCGTGTTCCTGTTAATGAGGTACCCCGACCGTGAAATACAACTATTTTCCTGTGTGATAGTGTTGTGCTGACGCGCCGTAAAGTTTACCTTGTGGCCTTGCCCATATACATTGTATTACTAATATTCCGTTAAGCTATCAAAGCAAACACAGTGCAGAAATTATGTTATGGCAAAATTTAATATAGAAAATCTTCAAAAACTGAATATACCTTCTTTTATATGCACTTAACAAAAGCGGTTACATTGCAATAATGATAATGTTGGAAGCTTTAAATGTTATACATTTGAATAAGTATCCCTACTACGTTGTATGGATATCATCGATTCACGTGCACGGTCATAAATAGCGATACACATCTTCATGTGTTTTCTCTTGTGAAACAACATATGGCGTTATAGTATGTATATGGCATGGCATACACGCAAAAAAACATCATTAGTGTGGTATCATCTAAAACATCTTCACTCCATCACGATACATCACGTGACTTATTCAGATAGCGTCAGTCACATCCATGACTTAATTAGGAATATTTGTTTTTCCTATGTACTCAGTTTGTTGATATTGATTACTGTAATGCTTCGTTGTTTACTCGCTTTTATACATTTCTCTATTTTCGTGGTCGACAATAACCAGTATTAAACTATCAGTATAACTAATGAAATATTGAACTTAATAAAAAGGAAGTGGTACATTATTTAACTAACATATCACTGACGTTTCGGTTTGAGTTTAAACTGCATTATTAAGTAAAATGAAATGAATGAATTAAACACCTTATTTATGCTATTATAAGTTATGCTCTGTATGTTGTTACAAGTTAAACATTGTATGTATCATATGGACATCAATAGTAGATTGATATGTTGCTAACCATATACATAATATATCTGTTATTTATAAATATCACTGCATTTACCAAATTTAATTAAAGCTTTTTTTTCATAATAATAGAAAATATAATTTCCTTACTTTGTTTTTACACATTCTTCACTCTTATTCTGTGTAGACGCACACATCATAACAACATGATTTTGTACATTGTCACCATCAACATGTGGTGACTGTTGTGTTGCTTAGCACCTTAATTGCAATATCAATAAGAAATCTTTAACACAGCAGACTGATGGATGTTTATTTTATACCATGATAACAACTTCTATTTATAGTAACATTTAGCTTAAGCAAAATATTATGGCAAACACACATTATAGCGACGTGATTTGCACTTTGTATGTGTACACTTTATAAAGTTTAGAGATCCATGTATGCAAAACATCCTGTTATATCGACTGATTATTATAAACCATATTGGAAAAACAAAAACTGTCATGTCATGTTCTTCTATTCCTTACACAACGGTGAAAATATGGCAGGGAGATTTTTCTCCATAAGCACAAATCCATTTATGATTACATAACGAGAAGCAAAATTAACACGTACTGTTTATTGGACGGAAATGAAACTGTAACTAGTAACCTTCTTGTATGACGCCGACTGTCCATCTACTGGATTGTGATCAACACGGTATATGAGTAGAAAGCTTAACATTGTTTTCTTGTTTTCGTAGAGTTGGTTATTGATAGTTTATTAAATTCACGATTTTTATATCGTCAGGTCAGCAACTGACATGTCTTGTTGTCTTAAAAAATGTTCGTTGTTGAATTTATTAACAAAACTAATTTAAAGGAAATATGTAAGGAAAACAAAAATAAGAATATTTACGCAAAAATAAACCGGCCTCGAAAATTGCCATGTGTGCAGTATCCGGTTCTCGGTCAATAGAGTGTTGTTAACACGTAATACTTGTCGTTCACCAGGGATGTATATAATACACGTGTAATTATTATATGTAGTAACAGCTGTGTATGTAAATCACACGACGACACGTGTTGGTACTGCTGCTTGCTATGTAGGGTCTGTGTTAATGTGGTGTAGGACGGTACACACAAATCTAAGGTTCGGCTATGGTGGCGATCAATATTGAAACAATGTATTCACATAAATTATATGGATATTCATTACACAGTGTTTACGTATTAAATATTTTTTATAGTTATTGTATTTTAATACAGGAAAGAAAATAAAAAATACCCGATTATGTTTCAATGTGAATTTTAGGAATTTGTGCATAAAAGATTGGTAAAAGGAAAAAAAACCCACCTTTAATTGCATAACCGTTATTTCCGTGATAAAATTCAAATATTTTTGTATCCCCTCGTTCCTTAATTATTAGTTCTACAGTGTTGACGCTGTGGTATATGCATTTGATAAAAATCTGTAATTGTTTATGCTACTGTCAATCGAGATTGGTTAACATAACTTATAAGCTGTTGTAGACCTTATCAAGCTATCTTGTATCTGTGTATATGAGTAATATATCAGCTGTTGTCATTTATAAAATATATGCATACATCGAAATGATGAACGGCTAGACCTCACACAATCACATCACTGATTGATTCATCTTTGCTGCTGCTTCAACTCATGTCTTCAGTCAGCACATACTTCCTTTTAAAAGTAATATCTGAAGCATGCTACATAAATATCTGAATTATATAGTATATTGTGACTTCCAAGTTCCACTGTTACCATCTTTTCCTATAGACTGAGATCTGATATTCTGTTTGTTGAGGTTATTGACAGGTTTTCGAATCAACTGTGTCGTCATTTATATGTATTAAAATACTGATACTAATGGAAAAAGCTAACGATACTGCAATGTGATACATTATCCGAGTCTCTGACCTCACAATCTTCAAACACACCAGAGGAACATGTCTTAACGTATCTTTTATCAGAAATGAATTTAATCCGCGGTAAAACACAGGGAAATAGAAATTTCTTATCGGGGTAGAATTTGTTGGTTCAGTGAACCTGATAGTGGTTGTTATCGGCGTGAAGGGTTGGCGCGTAGCTCCAATATATATTTCACATACAGTAGCCCTTGTGCGAAAACAAAATTATCAGCATTCGTCTCATAAGTTTTTGGAGTAATCTACTGTTATAGACAAAGGCAGGTGGCTCGGTGTCATAGTGGGATAGATGTTAATGATTTACAGGTCATCAGCAGATAACACAACTTTCTATAAACACTGGTCAGTTGTATATAACGTCTTCTGTTGTAAGCTCGATGTTAAAGAGTCGAGGTTAGTACGTATGTGGTGTGTTACTGTAGCTACGGAGTCGCGTATGGTTCAGAATCAAACCTTTGCTACATGAGACAGCAGTTTTTTGATTTTAGATATTTTTCGCACAGTTGCATGGTTCGTTGTGTGTTATCATTAAACACAGATCAGACTTTTACACGTTCAAAGTATCTCAATTTTCGTCTTAATATCCTACTAGTTGATCGACTTTGTGAAGCTGTAACCACAGGAAATAAGTGTCCAGTGTCTACTAGGATAGAAGCAAGCAATTGTTTGTATGGGAACACTTACCTGGACGGTAATTGGTGTAGCCGAGGTATTTTGGATGGATTTCTGTACAGTAATTAGGTGTACCAGCATGACACACACAAGGCGTATATCGGTACAACAGTAAGTAGGCAATCTGATAGCGACAGTGAACGGGGGCAATATGTTACATACAGGACTTATTTTTCCGGATTTTATCTGTGACATAATACCAGTCCTCCTGATGGAAATAACAAGCGCCGAACTGTTTGCATTTTATTACTGGATTTAACATTTATGTATTTATCAGGGAAAAAGATGTCTTGCGTGGCGATTACATTTCTGTAACATAAGGGTTTTTGTGTGCGCGTGTCTTTCTACACAAGCTGGTGTAGTACATTAGCTATCGGTCAAACAGTGTCGAGGATCCCAGGCAATGATTTAATATACGAGGTAGTTGGAACATTTCCCGTGAGATCCAATGCCAAACATATGTGGGTTTAATGAACCGAAACACACAGTCTAGCTAAACGAAGGATCTTTGTGGATGTTGTGCTGGATACCAGATCCCTTTTAACACGTGCCGTTATACCGCGAATTAAAACAACCCAGATATTAGGACTTCAGCATCTACTGACAGTAGCATCGATATTTTAGTGGATTTGGAATTATTTAAAATACACAGAAAGAGAGCTACTTCGTTGTTAACGTCTATTTTCATAGCAATGCCTTGTTTTCCATTCCAGTTCTTTAAAAAGGACAAGAAGGGGAAGAGATCAAGCTCAAGTTCATCCGACTCAAGTCCAGAACGGGAAAAGAAACCTCAAAAAATCAAAGAATTCATCGATGACGCTGTGAAAACTCATAACGAACTCAGGAAAAAGCACGGCGTTGCTCCTTTAAAACACAGTAAAGATCTGTCGGAATTTGCCCAAAAGTGGGCGGAACACCTCGCCGCTAGCAACGGTTTCCAGCACAGTGATTGTCAACACAAGGGAGATAGACTCGGGGAAAACATCGCCTGTAAATGGTCCTCGGGATCAGCAGATTACTCTGGTAAGTGACATACAATCAGAGAATATTTATATTTTAACATCAATGTATAACACGAAGTAAACAACCCATTTGGTTATTTTGATGCATGTAGCACGGGATCTTAATAGATCGTTACCTTGCAATCATTACCAATTGATACCCATAGTTGCTCATCATTTTCTCTCATGTGTTTGTTTATTTCTTAATATTAACTGTTAATTCGATATGGAAATAAAACAAAAATAATAATAAAAGTCTTAGTGCGTATTTTTTAGTTGTACAGACCAAAAACGACGTTCACTTATTTACTTATGTATTAATGCTGAAAACGTGTGATCTATACGATGCTAGATCAAAATCCAATTTAAGATAATATACACTTAAGACTGTTTGCTTCATCAACAGGGAAGGACGTGACCGATTACTGGTACAGTGAGATAGAGAAACATGACTTCAACAGTGAACCGCGGACCTTAGGATCCGGTAAGTAGTATGAACCGCGGACTTTATGATCCGGTGTTTAGTGTGAACCGCGGACTTTAGGATCCGGTAAGTAGTATGAACCGCGAACTTTAGGACCCGGTAAGTAGTGTGTTCCACGGACTTTATGATCTGGTAAGTATTTGTGTTCCACGGACTTTAGAATCCGGTAAGTAGTGTGTTCCACGGACTTGAGGGTCCGGTTAGTAGTGTGTTCCACGGACTTTAAGGTCCGGTAAATAGTGTGAACCGCGGACTTTATGATCCGGTAAATAGTGTGAACCGCGGACTTAAGGATCTGGTTAGTAGTATGACCCGCGGACTTAAGGATCCGGTTAGTAGTGTGACCCGGGAACCTTCGGATCCGGTAAATAGTGTGAACCCCGGATTTTAGAATCCGGTAAATAGTATGAACCGCAAACATTACGATTCGGTAAATAGTGCGAACCTTGGACTTACGGATCCGGTATGTATTTTGAACCGTGAACTTTAGGATCCGGTAAATTGTTTGAACCGCGGACCCAATCGTCCGATGTTTTGTTTGTGGAGCAGATCGTTAGATTTGGTTAGAAATGTCAACTGCGTACCTTAAATTCAGAAAAGTGAAAAAACAAACGAGTAACGATTGCTTTTATGTTTTGCCTTGCTATGATACTTTAACACATTCATTCTATTGACACTTTCCAGAGTCCGACCTCATGTGTCTTCGCTACCAACTAAACATCCCCATGTTTGATATTATATGTATACTTATAATTAAAGATTCAAGATAATGACTTCTAATCAATATTTTGATTTTATTTGTTGTTTAGGACATTTCACCCAGGTTGTATGGAAAGGCAGTAAAGAAATGGGAATTGGCAAAGCCAAAAGTTCGGGTGGAAAAGTCTTGGTTGTCGCCAGTTACCGCCCCGCTGGAAATCTAGTCGGTACATTCTTAGAGAATGTTCCACCACCGAAAAAGTGAAGCAAAGACTTTTAAGACACTTTCAACTTATTAAGGAAATAATGGTTACGTCATTTTATAGATGGACATACTTGTGTATTAAGTCGTGTACTATTGTAGTTCACAATCATTTTGTTATGTACAGTTTTGTGGATGAATGGATCTGATTGTTTCACTGTTTAGCTTAATTAATTACACATTGTGTCACCATTGAGTCAGATTTTGAGATTCTGTTTGTGTTTTGATCGCAATAAGTGTGAATCCATTCATGACTACGAGGTGATGTGAATATCATTTTTTCAGAGAACATCGCCAGATTTTAATTTGTCTTTATACATTCTTGAGCTTATGAAACAATTAAAAAAAAATCTGATATGAAATATTAAAGTAAGAGTATATTTTTCGAGTAACTGCTGAAATTCGTACATTACCTTAATGTGGCGTGATATGTTCCGTTACAGTTTTAATTAGAGTTAACTCCCTTGTGTGTTTATTTTTCAATATCTATCGCTTTTAACAATGTTGTTCGTTTATTAACTAATCAAGTTAACATCAACATTTCTGATGTCTCTAATTGTGTAACTCTCTTTGAAAGGCGATACATAACAAAGAAAGATAGGGTACATTTTGATTAAAATACCCAGTTTATATACGTTGCATGAAAACTACATTCCAATGTGTTTGCCTTCTATTCTGTGATACGAATCCGTTTTATATACATAATGTAATAAGCGTCAAATGATAAAAAAAAAAAAAAATGTTTTTCTTAACAATATAAGAGTCCAATTTTATGATAATGCTGTTTTAAATGTTTATCATTCTTATCATTTTTATGAAAAAAAGTGCTTTTCGTTTCAATAAGCATTAAATTATGTATATATATGTGAAAACATTGTGTCTAAAACTCCTGTTTTTAGTGCTACCTTTTGCCAAAAAAAAATTGTGAGCCTATATTTCATTGTTTCATAATCGTGAGGCTTTAAACTAACGAAAAAAAAAAAATAAAAAAAAATAACGTTTTATGTAATTATCATTTAGATAATTATGGGATTTGTATTCGGAATCTGTTTGAATTCGCGAATTATTTTAACTATACTTTGTTGTCTTTTACATGCACACCATCCCGATGTTTAAGGCTGCGTCTCTGTGTTGTTAAGGGTATGTTTATTATAATATCTGGCTGTTGTAGATAAATATGAATTATTATGGGAGACAATGGCAACTGCCAAGCAATACAACCCATATATTATTGTATTTTTACAGAACAAAAAACATGTATTGTTTGTGTATTCTTACGACGCATGTGTATTGAATGCGGGATTCTCGATACATGGATATTTTATTCTTCAGAAGAAATGAACAAATAAAATATTTTATTCACATATTGTGTTCTTTATTCTAAAGTTGATATCAAATCTTCTATCATTACTTATCACTTTACTTATCATATAGCTATCATACGGCCGTGTCATATATATGGCAATACACACGTGTAATAAAACCCCAATGCTGCGATTGGTCAAATTGTGGATTTTCCATTTATTTCTTATGCTTTATCAGCGACGATGGAGTCCTTCCAGGATCAAAATCTCTCTCTCTCTCTCTCTCTCTCTCTCTCTCTCTCTCTCTCTCTCTCTCCGAAAATTGGTCCATTTTTACAAAACATGCAGAACATATCACACTTACGCTTCATGAGCACGTTCACTTAATTGTACACATGCAATGAGACATTAGTCAAGTTTTATCCTATCTCGACAAAATCTTAACTTTTGGCGTCTTCAGCTACAGGTATCGGATTAAGAGAGCTCATCCTGATATTCTTATCTCCATATCCATCACTATAAGAAGTGCATAGGTCAAGAATGTCCATATACATTTCTGTATAATGGATCTTTTCAGAACGAAATATGTCCACTAAGCCCATCAACTAAGTTTATTTTACTAGAAATCTTAATCAACTACAAAATATCAATATGCTGCCTCGATACATCTTATTGCATTCAAATGTATTCATATTTAAATATTTAAATCGTATATACGTACGGAAAAAACGGTATGGGATATCTACTTAACCCTTTCACCACTGTAGATCATTATGGACTCATCCAGATCAATGCATGGTAGAGTCTACAAAAGTAACATAGAGGTGAAAGGGGTAATGTAAAGCAGAACTTGAGAAATCGACACATTGCATACACGCGGTTTATGGAGATGTGACGTGTGGGAGGTAAGTTCTATATACGAAATACGGACATCTATATGATAAGTAACAACGGGGTCCTCTCTAAAGTAAGCATAAACAATGCAATTTGTCCGTCTGTCTGTCTCTCTGGAAACAATGGATGGGTAAGGATGAAAGGATGGATTGGTGGATGGATTGAGATAATCATGAGCAAAGTTTTGAAGAAAGCAAAATAATTAATTTATGAAAGTATATCAATGCATTAAAAGCAACGACACGTTTCATCTGACGTATCAGATGTTTGTATTACATTGTCTATTTAACTGTCACTTTGTTTATGTGTTTCTTAACTCCATATAGACCGGAGCATCATAAAAATGTTATATACGCATTTTTTTAATCACAACAACTCTTATTATTAAAAGATGAATAATGTCAGTAAATTTCAATGACATTATAACTGTACATCAGAATTTGACGTTCAAAGGGAAGTAACTCAAGTTACATCATCTCCTATACAGAGTTTTGTTTTCTCACGGCTGTAAGGCATTTGATGTTCCTGATGAGAAATGCTATGCATTACCTTAGCTACCTTGCTTTTGTGTAAAACGTGGATTTGAAGTGTCCAAACCTGTCGCCATGTATGCACTTCATTAGGAGACTGCCATTATGCGTTCTAATCTAAATCTGAATTCATCTTCTGTAAAATAATGTCTGCACTGTATGAGTCAAATAGCACGATTAATTCTCTTAACGATTCTAACCGGCTCTGTCAGAAAAGTAAACTAACAACTGACTGTTAGAAGTAAGTCTGGTCCTCTTACGATCTTTATCTTTATATAGTGTATTTATCTAGTGGCTACAGTGAACTACGAAGCGATCCGATCCTCTCCAGAGCGGGGTTGAAAGCTTGTTGTACCCTGTACGAATCAAAATAATTCCGTATCGTGCGACGACTGTCGCCTAAAATTTCGTAACAGACGTCTACAAGGGTGTGAACAATCCGATGTAGATCTCCTTCGTTCTCGTCATCTTCAGGACGATATCTTGACGAAGAGCGTCGTGTCGTCTGCTGGTCATTTCCAGCTCATCATAACATAAAAAACTGAGAAACGAAGCATACGACAGATGAGGGATCATAACACAAAACGGATTATGTTTTACCTCTGGTCGTATTTGTGGCAAGGAAAAATCCAGTATGTCCCTTCGAAATGAAACAATTGATTTTGTAGCATTGAATTTCTTAAATATAGAGTAGCCCCGTCCACAGAACAGACGTTGGTATTTCTTTAGGCCCTTTACTGAACCCTATCAAACAGTGGTGTTTTGCGAGTATATCGTATCTTCGCAAATTGAACCTGCTTTTCTAAAATTCCCCACCAAAAAGAAAAACGTTGCTATATTCAACGGCGCAGAGCATATCAAGTCGAAGAAAGATAGGAAGGTCTTGCATATCCTTAAATTACATACTTCTGCCGTCGGATGACAACACGCACATCGCGGCGTAGTAGGTTGCGAAGACATCAGTTTCTGATCGGGCGGCCATCAGAAGCTCATTTGATTTGTGGATTCCTCTCATGTTCTGAATTCCACTATTGAAATCAATGTGGTTGACACATTCGGTAAATAACACGTGATCACGTCTGCACTCGAGACGCACGTTATCCGACGCTGAGGGACCTGGAGCCTGGCTACATATTTGATGAGTAAACGATAAACTGGACTTATCAACAAATTGCATGACAATATTCAGAACTTTTCTTCTGTTTTCAAACAGGCTTGAAACCACACTGCTATGCTTGTATCCTGCCATAAGGACTGAGGTGTAGTCTCGAACATAAGTGTTTTCATAAAGTATCAACACAAAATATCATCGTCGGCATAAATAGTACGCAGAGGTATTTTTTATGTTTTTCAAGAAATGCTTTAACAATCCGTACACTTTGAATTGTAAATGTCCAAAGGAATGCACTGACAGCCTTTCCGAGGTTACAAACGATATCCTCCACTGAAGAAATGTGTCTGGAGACGTTTTATCTCCATCAGGAAGGAAATAGCAGCATCTACGTTTGATTTTGTCAATGAGGGCGGCATTTGGCCACCTATGGATTTTTGGTCGGTGTATTCGTCTGTATTCGTCTGCTTCTGCCGGCCATGTGTCCCACGGAAACGACTCCGCTGTATCAATACTTACGCTGATCTCGTCATTCTTAAACGCGTTACATGGAACATTTGATATCATTGTCAAGTCTTCCCGACTGCTAGTTGCATCTAACGTGTATTGTCTGTATATATCGCTTGAAATCATGATTGCATAATCTTTCGGAACCGTGGCACTTTTCAATGCTTCTGAGTGTTCCCGCTCAAGATGTTCCAGCTCCAAGGTTACGTATCCCGGTCTGCTTTTTTTAGTCGGTCGTTTTATCTTATTTTTTCTATATATATATAGCAGCTAGTTTTTAAGTCGGTCGTTAATCTAATTTTTTCTATATTTACTTCCTTCACATAGACATTTAATCCCTTTTTATTATATATATATTTATTTATATATGGGGCAAAGAAGTAATTCCAACAGTGTGGACAAGTTTAGGTTGTCAATTTTTCGGAGCGATCCGCTCCTTTTTCAAGACACAGTGAAACAGAACAGTTACATGTACATATATATCATATTACAAGAAGATAGAACTGATATACTATAATTGAAAATATAGCTATTATATAAAACCAATAGTCACCTCGGCTAAAGACAGCCGATGGCAGCAATTAAGCCGAGAGTATCGCGGACAAGGAACGCTGATGTAGAGGACCTATTCTTGCGCAAGATGCACTATCACATAAAGTGAGTCAACGAGAGATATCAAAACGTGGAACATGTGCATGTGGAAATCTGGCCCGGTAAATGTGAAAAATCTCAATTTGCTACGGAAGGTCTCATTAGTCGCCTCTCAATTCTGCGATGGATCTAACAGTCACAGCAGGGGTCCACACTTAGTCGTCTCTTTTGGTTTCCTATTACTAACAACGGAAATGAGTCTATGACTGATAACATTACTGTGTATATATAAGACGCTGTATCATGGTTGCCTTACAGCACGATCGTATTTTAAGCATACAATACTTGATAGTAACATAGCTGCATACATGTAGCTACGCCAGATACATATGTATATTTCCATATCAGTGTTGATTTATCTTTTCGTCTATGTGCACCCTTATCGGCTGACGTAATGTTTGTCTATCAAATCACGTGATATAAGTGTCTCCAACAAGGAATGTTGATAAACCTGTACCGACAGAACAGCATAACATTTGTATTTCACTATTAGATATTTAAGTGCTTGTCAGACTAATCACGTGACTTCGCCAAAACAAGGAAGTGTACAGTTAGTTATACCGAGAAAGTTTGTGGGATCACTGTTTGTAAATTAAGAGCTAACGTAATCCTTTAAACATTCAACAATATGGCAAGTAACACATCCGTACGGTGTGCACAGGAACACGTTACTTACACGTGTGCTTTATGCGACAGTCCGGACAACGTGAACTGGTATTGTAACGACTGTCAGCAGACGTTATGTGATCGGTGTAAGGAAACCCATACACGCGGGAAGAAATCTAGAAACGATGACGTCGTAGCAATAGGAAAGGCTAATCGTCAGAGTGACAAGCCTGTACCAGAGGTATGTAACTTACACCCCGGTAAACTGTGTGATCTCTACTGTTCGGACTGCAACGAGTTGCTTTGTGGGATGTGTGTATCCAAATCTCATAAACACCACAACTGGAAACCCATCGAAGAAGAATTTCCTACTAAAAAGCAACAATTAAAAAGACACATCACAACAATATCTTCTAAAATACAACACGTCAAGAACGAGACATCAAAGCGACATCGTGCTAACGAAGCCTTCAAAGAAAACATTGATACAATGAGGAAAGAGGTAGACACTCAGGGAACCAAGCTGAAGGCAGAAGTAGATTCTCTCGTGGATGCAGTGCAGGCCGAGTTATCTTCACTAGAGCAAGAAGTATCAGGAGCTCATACGAACTTTTGTCTGCGATCTCAGGAAAAAGTCGTAGAGTTGACACGACTGCTGGAAAAAGCAGAAAAATCGTATAAAACGAATGTAGCTCTATTTGAAACAGAAAAGTCATTATATACAACTCTTCCTCTGTATGATGTTAATTTCAAGGATGCCTTACCAAACTCACCACGCTTGGATACCGGAAGTATCGACCGTGTTGTTTTGACGAAAATGGTGGGTGAATTATTTTCAGACATCCATGCGGACGAGATTGATATCGATATTGAAAACGTTCAACGCCTTTCTATGTTTACAGTTACCGACAAAGAGGAAATATTGAGTATATGCCCGGTCAACAACAGTCATGCGTGGTTAACGATGAATCGATACAAGGGTCTGTTGCTGGTCAACAGGGAGGGTGTGGTCACCAACACAGTACAGCTGGACTTCTGTCCGTACAGAACCACCTTGATCGGAACATCAGACATAATTCTGACGAGCTATGATGATAGCACATACGTGTATAAACTATCACTACACAACAAGCAAGTGACAACATTTGCTGACATCAGACCACATATAGCATTGGATATCAGTATCAATGAGAGGGAGGAAGTGTTTGTTAGTACCAAAACACAATGCATAGTGGTACTGGATAAGTCAGGTAAGGCTTTGACGAAGTTGAGTTGTGAAATGAAAGCATGGAGCATTGCAAGTCTGTCTTCAGGAGACATGGCGGTAATTGATGTTAATAACGTGCTTGTCATAATAGACAGTTCTGGCAAAACCAAATTTGAATGGACTGGTGAACTCGACAACGGTCAAAAGGTTGATGATATGGACCTCTATCAGATGTCACGTGACAAGTACGACAGAGTGTTTGTACCAGACAGTTTGAACGACCAGGTGTATGTCCTACCGAGAGACGGTAAACAGGCCGCGTGTCTCTTGGGCAAGAAATACAAAGTGACCAATCCTATAGCGGTGGGTGTGGACACATGTGGACATGTGTGGATCGGGGGTGCAAACGGCATCGTGCACGTCATGCAACTATAAGATGGTCTAGGCAATGTGACACCACATGTTTTGCTAATTACGATATAAGTATTTTTGCTTAAGATAGATATTAAACTATTTTTTTTTTCTTTTTCTGAACAACATGTAATAATAATCTACGATGAAAAGGACGTTACTTGTACCTGGTTTGGTACTAATTAAGTATAATACACGTTTTTCATAAGTCCGTCCTTAACATCATCCCACTGTAGGGCTCGATATATCATTGATCTGAATTGCAAAATGACATAGTAAGGTGTTCTATAGTGATACAAACTATATTTACTAAAGTGCTAATTAAATGTTATCGCTAATTTTTCAAATGCTTGTACAGTTCTATTGCATGTCTATTTCAATCCTAGAATGTGCAATGGGTTGTTAACATATTGAACATGATACCTGATGAAAGCCAATATAAATATGTACATATTGATAGTTTTCTTTTTCCATGCCGTTTATAATGAGCATTGCCTATCATGGTTTGGATGACGTCTAAAATATATGTGTATTGTTCGGATGATGTAATTATAATGAAAATCAGTTTCCTGATGAGTTATTAAATGGGCTAATGCGCTAGCGAATCTGTCTTCTTGTTACTTTACTTCATTTTACCGTCAAAATAAACATACACTAAGGAAAAAAACAACTTTTGACATACATCGACAATGTTATTAGCCTCGTTAAATGTTTCTTTAGTATTTGAGTACAGTACATCAAAAAGGTAACTTGACGTCGACAGAATGAGTCCCGTACATTACAAGCTCAAATGATAGTTGTTTTACGTGAACATTAATGGAAAAGGGTAGATATTTTTGTTCTTTTCTTACAAGACGTATACCAAACACAATTATGTGGTCGGATGGTGCAGTAGATAGCGCACTTGCCTTTTTCCAAGACGGCCGGGGTTGGATTCCCCGATCGGACCTGAATAGGTATGGGGTCACCTGCCCGACCACGTGGTTTTTTTCCGGGTACTCCGGTTTCATCCCACACTAACACCCACCGCACGCTAACATCTTGGCCAACAAGAGTGATTAATATAAGTAGAAATAACTTGTTTCATTATTGTTATAAAATAAATAAAGTTTATATTAAAACACACAAATGTACTTTAATAAATGAAGGGAGGTTATGCCATTACGACTATGTACTATAAAAAGCCAAAGCCTATGAAGAGCTCAGCTTTTGTTGATCTCTAATATTTACTGATTCAGAACTTTCAGAATGAGATAAGATAAACTTTATTTAAAGTCGGCTATAAAACACAAGCTCTAATGAGATTAAGACCGACGTAACAACAGGGAGACCGGGGCAAGTTCGGCCTTTTTTTCCGTTCTAGGAAGAAAAGCAGCGCGTCCGTTTTTGAACATTATTTAACTATCCTGTGGGAAGATCGGATGGCCGAACGAACCCCGCCATGGGGTCAGTTCGGACATGCATTCGGGTAAGTTCGGCCATCATTGGAATCAGCTTAATTATGACGTCATAAAGCAGGCAACGTCAGATTTTACCGCCAATTTTACGACTTTTTATATGTTAACTACATGGGCCGACCTTATCACGGTATTATTAGTCGAACCTGTTCGGGCCCAAATTGATATTACAATAAATTCTTATCGTACAGCAATATGGTGGTGATTGATTGGCTTGGCTTTTATGTATAATCATTTGAAGCTGTCAGTGTGTTACACGTTTGACTGTAAAAAAGTAGCAATTCCGTTTCAAAAAGTTCGCATAACTAGAAGCGATATCATGATTTTCTTTCTACCCTCTCAAAAGTAATTTTCTCCTGTTAAGTCATTTTACATTAGAGTTTTCCTCACCATTTTTTCGTCGTTAAATGCCCAGCCAACTTAACTGCTAAGATCCTTAAAGTTGTAAATATTAGCTCAAAAACTAAAAATATCAGGGATGGCCGAACTTGCCCCGGGCTCCCGTATATAGATTTTTTTTTATATCATTGATGATTGGTAAAAATGTATTCACAATATAATTTTTGCATCAGTGACGCCATTTTCTTCCAGCCAAAGCTAGAGTAGATGATGGGTCGGGTGGCGCAGTGGATAGCGCGCTCGTCTTCACCAAGATGGTCGGATTCAATCCCGGTCACCTCCCCGACAACGGTTTTCTCCGGATACTCTAGCTTCCACCCGTATTAAGAATTAAACCCTCTGCGTGCTTCCGTCATGGCACAAAAAGAATAATTGAGATAAGCTGGAGGAAAACTGTTTGGTAATTGCTATAGAAAAAAAGTGCATTTTACATATTTGACGATTAATCTAAGTAAATATTTAGAAATGTTAGTAAAAAATGAAATTAAAAAAGAAATCATTGTAATACTTTGATGTCACTGAAATTGTTTTGATATCGATATTTAGTCTCAATTTCTGTTCCATCCTGAAACACCGGATTGAATTTCAAATTTTGTAACTGTCACCGAGGTTTGACAGGTAATGATGCCAAGTAAAATTATAGTTTCTGTCTGTAACTAGTTATAAATCGGCACGCGTTGTGAAAAAGTAATACGTTGCTGAAAAAGGGCGTTGCACTTGGAATGGTTGTCTGGAAAATTATTGTGAATTTCGTCATAGATGCATTGTTTAAACATATTTTATTGCCAAAAAATGCAAGAGGATTGGGCACAAGTTACATGAACATTATTAACGCCCTTTCCTTATAAGATAAATAATTGTATATACACATCATAAGATGGATTTCATAGTTTAAATCACTACATTTATCTATTATTGAGAGAGAGAGAGAGAGAGAGAGAGAGAGAGAGAGAGAGAGAGAGAGAGAGAGAGAATGTTACTTATTCATTGCAGTTTATAAATTATAATGTACATCTCAATATTCAACATATAATGCACACATTCATTCTTACTTTTATTTACAAATTATGGTATATTTTGAAATTTGGTCATGAAAATGGAACCATCCAGCACAGTCAGCGCAGTGATATCCTGGCACTATTCCATACTTTCAACTATTCAACAGTTCGTCACGTCCCGTGCTTTGTGTCTTTCTCCTTTTCATTCCATCCTTTCTCGAAAATTCGTTTCTACCGCACTGGCTGTAACTGAATGGCCCATCACATGCCTATATTACATACATTCCAGCACACGCACACTTCTTGCATTCACGCTCTCGTGCACTTAAAAGAAAGTTAAACATTACAGAGGATTACTAAAATAATAAGGAACACACAAGTGTACGTTATGCCATGTAATACGGACACAAGCTAAGAAATGAATATGAAAGATAATGAGGACTGTTGGAGAGGAGACAGAAGAACGTGACCAAATTTAAAACCTGCGAGTACTCGATACATACTGTTGGACATATATAAATACATTTTTATTTTCGTCACTCGAATAATCTTCATGGCCATACAATAATTTCTCTAAGCTTAGAGGTAAGTATTCATGAAGATTTCTAAACATTTCAAATCTTTGATCAGTATATATACTGCATGTAAAAAAGAAATGATGAGCATTTTCATTAGGATATCCACATGCACAAATAGGAGAGTTGATTAGGTTAACATTAAAGAGATCATCATTTAAAGGGCTGCATTTATGACGGAGTTTGGTTAGTAAAATATTTAACTTACGGTCACCGGCTAAATAAAAAACAGGCACTTTAAATGTTTCATTTTGTTTTTTGAGGCAGTTTGTGAAGCTCTTAAAAGAATGTGCAGTTTTAATATTAGTGTCAAGCTCATTCCATAGTCTTAAAGTAGAAGGTATGAACGAGTTAAGTGAAGATTGTAAGCGGAAATTAGGAATGGAATAGTTCTCAGAGTTTCTCAAATTATAAGGAGTTAAAGTAGCTACTAGTGGCGGGAGAAGGTCAGTTAGGTAAGAGGGAGTAGATGCATGACTTATCCATTGCTCCTTTTATGAGTGGTGATGCATAAATAATGTTAAATCTATATCAGGACTTTCAAAAATGTCAATTATTTCGTTCATATTCTGAACAAATGGAAATCAAAAGCTGGTGAAATTTTAAATGATCGCTTTTTTGAAGATATCTCCCGGTTGAAATATCAACAAAACCGGGTTGATGACAAAAAAGATCTTCAAAAAATATCCGCATTTTTACTTTTTGTGCCTTTGGTAAAAAGTCTTGAAGCACCGACAAAGAGATAAATGCAACGGACATCAGTTCCAGAATTTTCCGTTTATTTTTCATCCTTCCGGAAATAACCGATGAAGACCGATGGATTGTGACGTGTTTGTGTCGTCATAGTTTGATAATCTCTGAACGAAGTTTCATGCCTGTTAGTATCACATTTTATGTGATAGACTTTTTTCACTCCAAATATCTATATATATTTTTTCTAAATAAACAAGTAATAAAACATGAAGATTGTTTTCACTATATGAAGAAATGCATGTCTGGGTTGAAATACAATTGTCTTTGCTTCAAGGATACACTTCCTGTTTCCCTACTGGACGTCTACTTCCGGACGAAAAGAATAAAGGCAACGTGTAGAAAGGGGAAGCAATTCTGTTCACGCACGCATGTGCTACCATTAAAGAGCTTCGCTCGGGCGCCTTCGACGCCCGAGAACTACGCCCTTATAAGAGAGTATGATGAGCGCAAGAATACTGTTGATGTCGGGTGGAAAGACTTAGCTGAAGTACAACTGTATTTACTTTTTTAGGCTTATAATTAATTCATATGAAATATAAACACATAAATATATAGAATATTTCACTATAGAAATTCATGTAATTATAAAATAATTAGAACAGGTTATAGCTAGAGTAGTACATTCTTTGTAATCATAAATTCCATCCAGTCCAGTCAAATACCAGAGATGTTGTGAAGATAGGTATACAAAATATATACATGTATATGTCAGTATCAATACTTATCAGCAAAGTGACACTATAAATATTAGCATCACTTTCAATGTGAAGTTTTGTTTCTGAGTGAGATTAAATATCTAGTCTAGTAGTTTGACAAATATAGTCAGATATTCTTTGTAAAATGGATACGCTGATATCAGTGCTGTATATTAAGCTCCCATTTAATAGAGTTTTTACTGTGTATATATAACTATATGACGCTGTATCATGGTTGCCTTACTACACGATCGTATTTTAAGCATACCATACTTATAAATAACATAGCTGCATAGCTAAGCCAGATATATGTTCGGCTGACGTAATGTTTGTCAAACAAATCACGTGATATAAGTGTCTCCAACAAGGAATGTTGATATACATGTACCGACAGAACAGCATAACATTTGTATTTCAGTATTAGATAGTAAAGTGTTTGTCAGACTAATCACGTGACTTCGCCGCAACAAGGAAGTGTACAGTTTGTTATACCGAGAAAATGTGTGGGATTACACTGTTTGTAAGTTAAGAGCTAACGTAATCCTTTAAACACTCAACAATATGGCAAGTAACAGATCCGTACGGTGTGCACAGGAACACGTTACTTACACGTGTGCTTTGTGCGACAGTCCGGACAACGTGAACTGGTATTGTAACGACTGTCAGGAGGCGTTATGTGATCGGTGTAAGGAAACCCATACACGCGGGAAGAAATCTAGAAACGACGACATCGTAGCAATAGGAAAGGCTAATCGTCAGGGTGACAAGCCTGTACCAGAGGTATGTAAACTACACCCCGGTAAACTGTGTGATCTCTACTGTTCGGACTGCAACGAGTTGCTTTGTGGAATGTGTGTATCCAAATCTCATAAACTTCACAACTGGAAACCCATTGAAGAAGAATTTCCTACTAAAAAACAACAATTAAAAAGACACATCACAACAATATCTTCTAAAATACAACACGTCAAGAACGAGACATCAAAGCGACATCGTGCTAATGAAGCCTTCAAACAAAACATTGATACAATGAGGAAAGAAGTAGACTCTCAGAGAACCAAGCTGAAGGCAGAAGTAGATTCTCTCGTGGATGCAGCGCTGGTCGAGTTATCTTCACTAGAGCAAGAAGAATCAGGAGCTCATACGAACTTTTGTCTGCAATCTCAGGAAAAGGTCGTAGAGTTGACACGACTGCTGGAAAAGGCAGAAAAATCGTATAAAACGAATGAGGCTCTATTTGAAACAGAAAAGTCATTATACACAACTCTTCCTCTGTATGATGTTTATGCGAGTGATAACTTACCAAAATCACCAAACTTCGTTACCGGAAGTATCGACCGTGTTGTTTTGACGAAAATGGTGGGTGAATTATTTCCAGACATCCAGGCGGCCGAGATTGATATCGATATTGAACACGTTCAACGCCTTTCTATGTTTACAGTTACTGAACAAAAGGAAATATTGAGTATATGTCCGGTCGACAACAATCATGCGTGGTTAACGATGAATCAATACAAGGGACTCGTGATGGTAAACAGGGAGGGTGTGGTCACCAACACAGTAAAGCTTGGCTTCTGTCCGTACAGAACCACTTTGATCGGAACAACAAACATACTTCTGACCAGTTACGATGAAAGTTCATTTGTATATAAACTAACACTACGCAACAAACAAGTGACAACGTTTGCTGACATCAGGCCACATAAAGCATGTGACATCAGCATCAACGAGATGGACGAGGTGTTTGTTGGTACAGGTACATTAGACATAGTGGTACTGGATAAGTCAGGTAAGGCTTTGACGAAGTTGAGTTGTGAAATGAAAGCATGGAGCATTGCAAGTCTGTCTTCAGGAGACATGGCGGTAATTGATGTTAATAACGTACTTGTCATAATAGACAGTTCTGGCAAAACCAAATTTGAATGGACTGGTGAACTCGACAACGGTCAAAAGGTTGATGATGCGGATCTCTATCAGGTGTCACGTGACAAGTACGACAGAGTGTTTGTACCAGACAGTCTGCACAACCAGGTGTATGTCCTTTCGAGAGACGGTAAACAGGCCGTGTGTCTCCTGGACAAGAAATACAGAGTGACCAATCCTTTAGCGGTGGGTGTGGACACGTGTGGACATGTGTGGATCGGGGGTGCAAACGGCATCGTGCATGTCATGCAACTCTAAGATATGTGACAACAAATGTTTTGCTGAGTATGATATAAGTATATTTGGTTGAGATGGATTTTATACATTTTTGTTTCCTCTGAACAACATGTAATAACAATCTACGATGAAAAGGACGTTACCTGTTCCTAGTTTAGTACTAATTAAGTATAGTACACGTTCTTCATAATTCCGTCCTTGACATCATCCCATTGTAGGGTTTGATATATCCTTGACATAGTAAGGTATTCCATAGTGATAGAAACTTCAGATATTTTTTCAGAATCGCTTAATATCATCGCTAATTTTCAATTGCTTGTACATTTCTATTGCATGTTTAATTCCATTCTACGTTTACATCGGTTTATTGAAATATTGAACATGGTACATAATCAAAGCCAATATTGGGGAGGAACGGTAGTCTAGTGGTAGGACGCCAGGCTCATGACCGATGGTTTGCGGGTTCGAGTCACGGCACGGCACTGTGTTGTATCTTTGGGCAAGATAGTTTACTCTGCTTGTTTAAGTCTACTCGGCTGTAAATGAGTACGTGGTTGGGCAGTGCTAGAATTGTTGAATGCTAACGGTGAGCGCCGAAATGGCAGCACCGACTGTTGGGAAAGATATCGGCTTGTTGCAAGGGACACATAACCACTGATAATAATTTGTGAACCGCTTTGTGACGACCTTCGAACTAGGTTGTGATAAAGCAGTATACAAGAACCTCGAGTTATCATTTTTATAAATCTGTACATATTGATAATTTTCTTTCCTATGCTATTTATAATGATGCATTGCTTATCATATTTTTTGTGTGAAATATTGTGAGCGTCATGAATAGATGACGTCTGAAACATAAGAGTAATTTACGGATGATGTAATTCCTGATAACCTAATAAATTGGCGAAAGCGCTAGCAAATCCTCACTCTCCTATCAGTTTTATTCCAAAAAACCTTATAAATAACGTTACTCTTATTTTACCTCTGCTGTTTATCCAACTTAGTATATAGCTTTTTATATCATTACTATTATGATGCCCGTGTTTAATGTCGAAAGCTTACTTTAACAGGCAAACTTACTACGGAAGCTTTCGAGAAATACATAGTGATGGAGACAATGGGCAAGTTTCATGAGGAAAAAAGATATAATAATGATAATAATATACAACATTTGATATAGCGCCCTATCTACCTAACATTAGCCACTCTAAAGCGCTTTACAGTACATAGATATAAAATTGATAAAATTAGCATATACATTTTTCAATACAATTTTGAGGAATTCGCAGGACCTGCCTTATCAGGCGCTAACTCCTATGCCACCTGGCTAGTACCTCCCTATGGGAGTATGCCTGCGTGTGTGCTGGAGAGGTAATGTGTAATGCATATGACGAAAAACACTGAAGAAAGCAAACCTCCGACATACGTCAATTATTATATAATTCTCGTAAAAACTTTCTTTAGTTATTGAATACAGTACAGCAAAAAGGGTACTTAACGCGAGCAGAATAAGTCCCGTACATTACAGGCTTAAACAATAGGAACATAAACATTTATGTATTTGTTCTCTTCTTATAAGACATATACCAAAAACAATTGTACTTTTTGATAATCAAAGGGAGGTAACTCCGTTATGACTATATATAAGAGAGTCTGAGGAGCGCAAACATACTGTTGATGTCGGGTGGAAAGACTTATCAGCTGAAGCACAGTTGTATTTATTGTTATAAGTTTATTATTAATTCTTATACAAAAAGGAAAAATGCATATCTGATGATCAATCAAACTCACTGTCAGATGTTTTTTTTCGCCTATTTATGCTGAATTTGTATAATCATTTAAAAACTAAATTTGATAAAACGAGGAATCGATGCAGATAAATATAACAGTTAAAAGAGCCTTGATTGAGTTTCCATTTTATATGTACAATAAATCTCCTATGAAATGAAAACCTTCTATGACGTTTTCAAGAATTTTGTGAATAAGGAACATTCTTCACGGTTAAAATTCAACCATCGCTGCTCTCTATATTTACTGTCTCTGTTTTGGTGCCTTAACATTAACCTGGCATCATTACATTTTACGTTAACGACGTCACAAAAGCATGTAGCATAGGGGACCCGTATCAACATTGAATACTTCCATAACATCGATACTGAGACGGTAAACAAGCTGCATGTGTCCTGGACAAGTGACCAACCCTATAGCGATGGGTGTGGACACATGTGGACATGTGTGGATCGGGGGTGCCAACGGCAACGTGCACGTCATGCAACTCTAAGACGGTTTAGGCAATATGACGTCCAATGTTTTACTGATTGTGATATCAGTATCATTAGTTTAGATGGTCTTTAAACATATATGTTTTTCAGTTTTTCTGAACAACATGTTACCTTCGATGAAAAGGACGTTACCTGTAACTGATTTAGTACTAATCAAGTTTAGTACACGTTCTTCATCATTTCGTTCTTGACATCATTCTGCTGAAGAGTTCGATATATCATTGAACTGAATTGCAAAATGACACAGTAAGGATTTCCATAGTGATAGAAACCTCCTATATATTTTCTTAAGTGCTTAATATCATCGCTAATGTTTCAAATGCTTGTACATTTCTATTACATATCTAGTTCAATCCTAGAATGTGCAATGGGTTATTAACATATTGAACATGGTACCTGATGAAAGCCAATATAAATCTGTATCTATTGATAGTTTTCATTGTCCATGCCGTTGATAATGAGCATTGCTTATCATAGTTTGGATGACGTCTGAAATATATATGTGTATATTCGGATGATGTAATTATGATGAAAGCCAGTTTCCTGATGAGCTAATAAATGGGCGAATACGCTAGCGAATCTGTCTTCTTGTTATGTTACTTCATTTTACCGTCATATTGCATATATACTTATAAAACTTTTGACATACATCGACAATGATATTGTCCTCGTAAAAAACTTTCTTTAGTAAATGAGTACAGTACAGCGAAAGGGTTACCTTACGTCAGCAGAATGAGTCCCGTACATTACAAGTTCAAATAATACCTCTTTTACGTGAACATTAAAGCAAATGGTAGAGATATTTGTTCTCTACTTATAAGACTCATACCAACCACATTCGGGTGATCGGATGGTGCAGTGGATAGCGCACTTGCCTTTCACCAAAGTGGCTGGGGTTGGATTCCCCTAACGGACGTGAAATGGTATGGGGTCACCTGCCCAACGACGTCGCTTTTCTCCTAGTACTTCGGTTTCATTCCACACTAGCAACCACTGCAAGCTAACATCCGGGCCAACAAGAGTGATTAATATAAGAAGAAATAATTGTTTTTATAATTGTTATAAAATAAATAAAGTTTATATTATAAAACACAATTGTACTTAAATAATCAAAGGCAGGTTACTCCTTTACGACTATGAATAAGAGAGTCTCATGAGCGCAAGAATACTGTTGAAGCCGGGTGGAAAGACTTAGCTGAAGTTCAACTATATTTTTCTAGGCTTATTAGTAATTCATATAAATTATACATATCTATATATATTGATACACAAAACTAATCGTCAGATTTTTCTTATGTACTTATGCTGAAATTTATCATTTTACTTCTACTTTTATAATTCAAAGTAATCCTACATTATATTCAATGTAAATCTTATCTGATGAACTTGCACTGTATGTGGTTTGTTCCGTAAACTCAATTGTTCCTTACCCTAAAAGTGAAAGCTTTGAGGAGTCTTCATGTTGTAAGTGATTATAATGATAATTAATAATATTATAATACATTTTTAACAATAACAATCTGGACTTGTCAAATCCATGGTGCCTGCCTGGCTACCATTATAGTTGTCCTATTAGGGTCAAAATGAAATATGCAGAACTTGGTTTTAGTGTGTTTTCAAATATAGCAGGGGCTACATATGAAATTCGAAAAAGATCAATTAATTGCTGTCTATCGAATATCACTAAAAGGTTTAACTGTTAACATTGAAGATGTCTGCCATCTTGGTTTTTCTATCAGTACCAAAATTGTGTATGACTTGTGCAGTATGAGAATGATTCCTTCACTACTGTCTAAGAAAATAGCGCCAACAATATTTAACTCTCAGCTTTAAAATGGCTGCCTGTCTGCCATCATGTGTTCCCGTTTAGTCCAAAGTTTGAAATAAAAGAAAGGTACTAGTGAGGCTTGAGAATGATTCCTCCGGTAATGTCTGAGAAAGATCGAGCGGTAACAATATTTTTCTTCAAAATTCAAGATTGCCGCCTGTCGGCCATTTTTGTTGGGAAACACCTTTCGATTGCAGTTGACAACGCGATTTCGGTAGATATATGCATATATATATATATTTTAGATATTAACAAATTTCCGGAAATATAAGTACACAACTCAATAATCAGTTTAATTCAAACTATTTTCATACAAACATACATTGGATACAAATATACAAACATGCATACATGCATACATGCATACTTGCATCCACGCATCCATACATCCATCCATACATCCATCCATACATACATTGGATACTTCAGTATGTTTCACTTTAGATCCCTTAATTGGATCAGCATGTAAACAACATTATTCCGAGAGTAGTAATAAATTACGTTTCATTATATTTCGTATTCAGAACATATAAACGTGTAGATTAAGATTACATACAAACAAACACGCATGCATGCACACATACATGCATACATGCACACATACATGCATACATGTACACATACATGCATACATACATGCATTCATGCACACATACATGCATACATACATGCATTCATGCACACACACATGCATACATGTACACATACATGCATACACAAATACCTGATCGCACTTACATATTTACGTACATGATTAAAGATTTAAGAGCAGGTATTCTCCAGATATTCTCCAAAATATTGTCTGACTAATATAACCGTACTAAACCACCCTTCTGACGTCAAACTGGACACAAGATCCATTCACGAACGTTGTTGAGGATAGACCGAGCAGAATTGTGATATTTGCTAGCATTATTAGAGGTTGTAATGAGATATATGCTAAATACTTACAGCCAGAAATATGAAACAAGCTATTTGCGTTTCAATACACTAAATATAAGATAAATGACGGGGTTTTAGACACAACAGGATGTTAAAGGGTCATGCACTTTCTCCGTTGATCTACAGAACGTGGTAGTTAAGGATTGAATATTCCTGGGTTGATTTCATGGGTTGATGAATTGAGTTGGTCTCGAAATGGACCAAAGCAAAACTCAGTCGTTATATTTTTTCAATCAATATGAGATTTTTGTAACATATCGAAGTTGTGAAATTCTTTATAATTTGTCGCTTACGCTAAAACTTGTGCAAGTCTACGTATTGTAAAAAAATAATATTATTGGAGATCAATCCAACAGCAATGAAGTGTTAGCTGATATTTATTCACTTAATTTAGAATAAAATAAAAAAATATATAGGTTTCATATTTAATTGTATTTGATGAGACTTCAACAAATCTGAAACCTGTTTTCATACGGACAAAACAATGTTAATCATATAACTCTGATATAGGAAAATGAAACAGACATAATTTGGTTGTTTCAGTTAGTCCAATTTGAGTAGAAATTAAAATCTTGTCGCATAAAGCAGTTTAATACATTATTAACACAAGTATACGTACGTTATCAATTAGTAATTAAATCCACAGCATATATAGTGTGAACGGTGTTAGTTGTTTTTGCTTTTATTATTTTGACACTTATCAATAAATGATATTATATGTCTGATGAAGTTAAAATTTGCCTTATTAAACTGTCGAATATACTCTTAATATTTGTAACGTATATATAAGCATTCGATCGCGTTTGTTGGCTTACCATAAAAATATGAATACATGTATTAGTGAATCACCAAAAGGATATCAGAAAAAACTCCGTGAAAATTGATAATTAAAATGCAAATATCAACAAATGATGTCTTAATAGTAAACAACCTTATTAGACAATGGTATCCAATGTCTAAAACACGCAGTATGAATTTCAGTTTTTAAACCTACGACAAATTTATCATTAAAATTAGTATGCGAACGCCTAAGGCTATAAATGATGTATGGCATACTTAGTCATGGGGTCCGTGGCCGTGTGACAACAACAAGAACGTGTGCTCCAGGACGTACGCGACAGATGGGGGATCGTACCGTACATACACGTCTTAAGAAAGTCTACAGCCATTTTGTGGTGAGAACTGAGAACTCTTGGTGATAATACAAGTATCAGGTAAGTAAAGATTGTGCTGTAAGTGTTGTATCTGAAACAAAATTGAGAGGTAAATTAATATATGATCATTCGAGTTACAGCATAAAAGTATACCGTCGTCATAGAAATGTCAAAATCGAAGATAAAATATGCTAGTTAGGTAATTAGGAAATAAGATTGTAAACACTATATATGTCCTAGCCTTAAAGATTTTCTTAGCAATGCTTGTCCATCGTGTTGTACGAGAAAAAAAACAATTATAGATTCATCGTTAAAGCTCGCGATTAAAACCCCGGATAATATAAGTAATCCTTCGTCAAAACTTTATAGTAAGTATGAAAATGAGGTCGCTTAAGTTATTTCAAATATAAACCTATCTTGACTGGTATGTCGAAAACTTCATTATCTAGAGCTCCTTTTGGCATTATCCTGTCAACACAACGAAATAGTGATATCCGACTGTACGTGACGTCAAATGATGTGTAGTGTTAATGAACCACGTGACGACATACATGTTACTACACGGTCAGGTAATAAAGGTAAACATGTATATATATAAACGACGAGCATCCATGTCACTACACGGTCAGGTAAAAAAGGTAAACATTTATATATATAAACGAGGAGCATACATGTCACTACACGATCAGGTAATAAAGGTAAACATGTATATATATAAACGACGAGCATACACGTTACTACACGGTCAGGTTATAAAGGTAAACATGTATATATATAAACGACGAGCATACATGTCACTACACGGTCAGGTAATAAAGGTAAACATGTATATATATAAACGACGAGCATACATGTCACTACACGGTCAGGTAATAAAGGTAAACATGTATATATATAAACGACGAGCATACATGTCACTACACGGTCAGGTAATAAAGGTAAACATTTATATATATAAACGACGAGCATACATGTCACTACACGGTCAGGTAATAAAGGTAAACATTTATATATATAAACGACGAGCATACATGTCACTACACGGTCAGGTAATAAAGGTAAACATTTATATATATAAACGACGAGCATACATGTCACTACACGGTCAGGTAATAAAGGTAAACATTTATATATATAAACGACGAGCATACATGTCACTACACGGTCAGGTAATAAAGGTAAACATTTATATATATAAACGACGAGCATACATGTCACTACACGGTCAGGTAATAAAGGTAAACATTTATATATATAAACGACGAGCATACATGTCACTACACGGTCAGGTAATAAAGGTAAACATTTATATATATAAACGACGAGCATACATGTCACTACACGGTCAGGTAATAAAGGTAAACATTTATATATATAAACGACGAGCATACATGTCACTACACGGTCAGGTAATAAAGGTAAACATTTATATATATAAACGACGAGCATACATGTCACTACACGGTCAGGTAATAAAGGTAAACATTTATATATATAAACGACGAGCATACATGTTACTACACGGTCAGGTAATAAAGGTAAACATTTATATATATAAACGACGAGCATACATGTTACTACACGGTCAGGTAATAAAGGTAAACATTTATATATATAAACGACGAGCATACATGTTACTACACGGTCAGGTAATAAAGGTAAACATTTATATATATAAACGACGAGCATACATGTTACTACACGGTCAGGTAATAAAGGTAAACATTTATATATATAAACGACGAGCATACATGTTACTACACGGTCAGGTAATAAAGGTAAACATTTATATATATAAACGACGAGCATACATGTTACTACACGGTCAGGTAATAAAGGTAAACATTTATATATATAAACGACGAGCATACATGTTACTACACGGTCAGGTAATAAAGGTAAACATTTATATATATAAACGACGAGCATACATGTTACTACACGGTCAGGTAATAAAGGTAAACATTTATATATATAAACGACGAGCATACATGTTACTACACGGTCAGGTAATAAAGGTAAACATTTATATATATAAACGACGAGCATACATGTTACTACACGGTCAGGTAATAAAGGTAAACATTTATATATATAAACGACGAGCATACATGTTACTACACGGTCAGGTAATAAAGGTAAACATTTATATATATAAACGACGAGCATACATGTTACTACACGGTCAGGTAATAAAGGTAAACATTTATATATATAAACGACGAGCATACATGTTACTACACGGTCAGGTAATAAAGGTAAACATTTATATATATAAACGACGAGCATACATGTTACTACACGGTCAGGTAATAAAGGTAAACATTTATATATATAAACGACGAGCATACATGTTACTACACGGTCAGGTAATAAAGGTAAACATTTATATATATAAACGACGAGCATACATGTTACTACACGGTCAGGTAATAAAGGTAAACATTTATATATATAAACGACGAGCATACATGTTACTACACGGTCAGGTAATAAAGGTAAACATTTATATATATAAACGACGAGCATACATGTTACTACACGGTCAGGTAATAAAGGTAAACATTTATATATATAAACGACGAGCATACATGTTACTACACGGTCAGGTAATAAAGGTAAACATTTATATATATAAACGACGAGCATACATGTTACTACACGGTCAGGTAATAAAGGTAAACATTTATATATATAAACGACGAGCATACATGTTACTACACGGTCAGGTAATAAAGGTAAACATTTATATATATAAACGACGAGCATACATGTTACTACACGGTCAGGTAATAAAGGTAAACATTTATATATATAAACGACGAGCATACATGTTACTACACGGTCAGGTAATAAAGGTAAACATTTATATATATAAACGACGAGCATACATGTTACTACACGGTCAGGTAATAAAGGTAAACATTTATATATATAAACGACGAGCATACATGTTACTACACGGTCAGGTAATAAAGGTAAACATTTATATATATAAACGACGAGCATACATGTTACTACACGGTCAGGTAATAAAGGTAAACATTTATATATATAAACGACGAGCATACATGTTACTACACGGTCAGGTAATAAAGGTAAACATTTATATATATAAACGACGAGCATACATGTTACTACACGGTCAGGTAATAAAGGTAAACATTTATATATATAAACGACGAGCATACATGTTACTACACGGTCAGGTAATAAAGGTAAACATTTATATATATAAACGACGAGCATACATGTTACTACACGGTCAGGTAATAAAGGTAAACATTTATATATATAAACGACGAGCATACATGTTACTACACGGTCAGGTAATAAAGGTAAACATTTATATATATAAACGACGAGCATACATGTTACTACACGGTCAGGTAATAAAGGTAAACATGTATATATATAAACGACGAGTATACATGTTACTACACGGTCAGGTAATAAAGCTAAACATGCATATATATAAACGACGAGCATACATGTTACTACACGGTCAGGAAATAAAGCTAAACATGCATATATATAAACGACGAGCATACATGTCACTACACGGTCAGGTAATAAAGGAAAACATGTATATATATAAACGACGAGCATACATGTCACTACACGGTCAAGTAATAAAGGTAAACATTTATATATATAAACGACGAGCATACATGTTACTGCACGGTCAGGTAATAAAGGTAAACATTTATATGTATAAACGACGAGCATACATGTTACTATACGGTCAGGTAATAAAGGTAAACATGTATATGTATAAACGACGAGCATACATGTTACTACACGGTCGGGTAATAAAGGTAAACATTTATATATATAAACGACGAGTATACACGTTACTACACGGTCAGGTAATAACGGTAAACATGTATATATATAAACGACGAGTATACATGTTACTACACGGACAGGTAATAAAGCTAAACATGCATATATAAACGACGAGAATACATGTTACTACACGGTCAGGGAATAAAGGTAAACATTTATATATATAAGCGACGAGCATACATGTTACTACACGGTCAGGTAATAAATGTAAACATGTATATATATAAACGACGAGCATACATGTCACTACACGGTCAGGTAATAAAGGTAAACATGTATATATATAAACGACGAGCATACATGTTACTACACGGTCAGGTAATAAAGGTAAACATGTATATATATAAACGACGAGCATAAATGTCATTACGCTGATACACTTCTGGTGGTCAACAAGCTTGCAATCTATTACTATCAATAATTAACTTGTTATATATAAAGTACGTTTTTAAAGTCTGGCGAGGACACCTTTTAGTTTATGTTTGCCCAGTTCTTGTGGTATTCTGTGATTTACACGATAGTATCACATTGAGATTAATTAATATTGTTGACGCTGTGCTGTACTTGATAGTATCACACGGAGATTTTTATCACTAAAGATAAAACATACAAAATATGGTTAACGACAGTGGTCAGAGTGCAATTATTCAGTGTTGCTATACGAGGATTCGAACCATGGGCTTCAGATTGTTATACTATTGCTATTAACAATGGACCTATATGGTCAACAGAAGTATCCTGACCCAACGATCATTCTGTTACTTCATTAACGATAGTAAGGTGAGGTAACCCTTTATATGAAAACCACAGAGTTGCGGGACAGTAATTCTTAAATAACTGCTTTGTCTTAATGAATATTTTGTTATATTATAATTATAGGTCATTTCTGATCTTCTTTGATTTCTAATGACGATTAGTTTTTAATAAAGTCTTGTTGAGAATAACAAAGTTGAGCTTAATAGAATAAAAGAATGATTAAGATTATCTTGATTAGTTTGAAGGTAAAAATTAACATGTACCTGTTACACATGTGCTAACGTTGTAAAAACAAAACAGCAAGATAATACCGATAAAACTATAGTCATATTTGAGCTTAGATACCCTAGCAAAGGTATAAGAGGATTAGGACAAGATGATCTGGAAGGGCCGGCACGAGGCATGCAGTGGCCTTTGAAACAATGAGCTCATCCTCGAATACCTGAAATATGTGTAAACTTTGATCAAATTCTGTTAATTTAGGTAGCTAGGTGGCACTAAATCGTGTGATTACTTTTTATGAATAGCAACAGCGACCTTGGCTTTGATCTAAAGTGTTACCATGCTTGACCTTTGTATAGAAATATAGTTGGCAGACTGATGACACTGGATTGGTTAATGATCTTCTATATATAGCAATGGTGGCCTTGACTCTGGAATTCTGATACATGAACTCCTTCAAGGTATTCTCATTCTTGAAATTTGTGTAAACTTTAATGACAATATATTAAGAAATGATATAGCTAGAGTGTGTACAATGAACCAATTACTGATTAAATGGATAAAATGGAAACCTGATTGAGAACTGAAGTTAGAACAACCTGAAAATCCTTTTTGATAAATACAGGTAAAATAAAGTTGCTGATAGCATATTCCTTCGACAAAAAAGACCCCTAAATAATATGTGCTTCCAATGTATGGACTACATACATGTATAAAAACATTGTGGACAAGTCTTCCACTGGAATGTTATTTCAAAGAACCTGTTGTCAGTATTCTTATTTTACCAAAATTTCACATATATCAATGAAATCGTAATATTTGGAACAAGGCCGTGGAAATCGAATCAACTATGACATACAAACACCATGAATACGGGCTCACAGATGTAACTATCAAGGTTGTGAATGTTTACAATTGAAAATCCGAATCGTCATGGTAATTAGTAGTAAGTTTTTTCTGTTGGTTTTGATGTAAGTAAAGATCGAAACTGGTGTGCTAATGTGTGCTTCTGTGTGAATACCGCTACAATTTGTTTATTTTCTTGTTGATATCGAAATGTAACAATGTAAATTTTCTTTTTCCATTTAGGAAAACATCATCCGGTGCAAGCATCTTTTACGAATATCAACCATAGAAAGGTGGGCATGTCTCCGAGAATCGGAATGATTACACACATGTATTGTGTGCTCATGTGTGTGGTTCTTGTATGTCAAGCAAGGACACCGTTGGATAACACTCTAAGGAGTAAAATACTAGCAGCTCTAGGAAAAAATAATCGAGCTGGTGGTGCGTCATCGACGTCTGTTTCTGCAAACCGGATCCAACCAGAGCTACCTAGTGCCAAGACAAAAGCTCGAGCGACATCTGGTGGTGTCAAAAAGATACGTGCTATTATTCCTGAGACTTCAGATATAATTATTGAAAAAGAAACGACACTTGATACTACAACTGTTTCTCCATCATCATCTTCACCTGTGAAACCTAAAGCTTTAGACACGCAAAACGTCGACGTAAACATAAATATAAACAATAACATTAATAATCAAGAGCCGGTTACATCAGCCACAGCCAACCCGACGCAACCCACTGAAACACCAAAACCAGTACTGGACTGTGTCAGTATTTGCAAGATCGCAAAGTAAGTATAATATTTCATTTGTATTATATCTATAGACTTGCGCGTTCGGTTTTAATTGGAAATATTTATTCTAATACTTTGTATCTTTTGTCGACATTTTAGAAATTTTGAGAACATATTTGTCTGACTTGGTATTGCTTGCGTCCGAATAAAATATATTAAATTTAATTACTTTAATAAGAAGTACCAAATGTCCATTACATAATTCATAGCGCTTATGCAATGTGCCAAGAAGTTTAGTTTTGTCAAACTACGCATATTGGTATTGATGTGTAGGAATGGTAACGACGTAAAAACAGGACAAATGACTTCGGGCGTCATTGGTCATTTTTAGCCTCATATAAAAGTTAAAAATCCAACTTGAATTTATTTACTTATTTCTGTTATAAACATGATATTGGTTAATTGGAGCTGTATTTCTTGGTGCAGATTTCTCCAATGCGCATGCGTAGATGCCCTACCAAAGCAACGAAATTGCGTTGCTTTGCAGAAATAGCCAAAATTTGGTGTTTTTGTACAGTTAGTGTGAAAGCCTCCGTATGCGACAAACAAAAATTCCTTTCAACAAAAGAACAATTGGTAGGACAATGTTTAAGCACGTAAAATATTTCTTTGTTTGTTGCATCCAGAGGCTTTCAAGAAATGAAGAGTGATTATTACAACTGAATATATCCAAAGTGTCTTTAAATATTCTCTTCTTTCTTTTAGCGTGGCAGCTTGTGGATGCCCTCACAGTGGTGCATGGGCATAACACCATGATAATGTAATAACAACGATCTACGATACAGCCCTACACGTATCCAGTTAAATCGTGAAAACGAAAGTGATGGGATTTATGACAAATTCTTGTGTATAATGTACTCGTTGGAACCGTCGTTATCTCTTTTTGTGATAAAATACTGAATCATTTGTGGTTGCGCATGTTATTAGTTTTGTGCATGTTAAAGACCAAAAAAATGGTTTAGTGTAAACGATAAACGAAACAAACTGTAATAATGATTTAAGAATGTTTGATAGAGGGTAAAACTCGTAGATGCTTATTATATTAAACATATATCAATTTCGGATGAGTACCTGTTATTATTATACATTATCAACATCAAAATGATGATCACCGCTCTTACGTTACAAAGATTTTCCTACCGACTTTAAGTGATTGTTAACCATCAAAAAGATACATATATACCTAGTTTCGGTCATAATTGGGTGTCGAAGAAATTCAGAGCTTCTCATCAACACTACCAATAAACTCATACAATAAGCACATTTGCTCTGGCGAATCGTTGGGAGAGAGTTTAGCGTTGTTCAGCGTACCCTTGTTGATGGATTCCTTATTTCTTAATTTACCATAAGAATACAAATTAAAATAGAAGAGATATCAGCATCTGCAATCCAACATTAACGTAGTTCGGTTGACAACGATCTGCTTGGATTAGAATTCCTGATACATCCCTAGCGATGTTTTTCTTGTCATCTCTTCTTATGTTCAGGTAGCGAGTAGTTTAACTTAAAACGTGGAAGGTCACTCGTGTCTGCTACGACCTGATTTGATATTTTGCTTAAGTGTTTCAGTGCATTGCATTAATAAGCGTCAAAATTGCAAATAGAAAGTACACTTTTGGCGACAAAACATATGTTCACTAATTGTTTATAAACATATGTTCCTATAGGGAACGCAATAATATTAATGAACTTGTAAGTCACTCTTTTCCAAGCTTTCGGGCTTAACCCTTCGTCAGGGATTAAATATCACTGGGCCTCTATGTCACATCCATCTTGACAAACATGTTGAGTAACTACATCTTATGTTGAGTAAAATAAAAATAAAATAAAATAAAATAAAGGGTTCAGTTTATTTATCGAAAGCTTATTTTTCCTCAAAACGTCTGGATCTCGTTTGCTTTATTGTAGGGAAGTAACAACTTTATTTATTTATTTATTTTTATAAATAGTTTCATTTTTAATATTGTACAATCTAAACCTTTTCCTATTTCGTGTTTCTATTTATTTGAGAAGATATGCATTTTGAACAGTGCGACTATGAGGGTTTGAAAGCTATTGAACAACTAACATCAAGCAGAAAAATAGGTATTCGGAATTGTTACGTCAAATAGTTTAGTATTTAAGACGTTATCGTTTTGTATAAAAGCGTTAGATATATATATATATATACCTGTTGAATCTTGTTATAGTAACACAAGCAATTTTCAGACCATGAATCACAACGTTCTGTATTGCACATGTGCAATACGGAATGTTGTACATTGTATTTACCTACTAGCCGGAACTACTTTTTATGGGACCCCCCTTGTCATGGCGAACTGAAAAGCTCCCTGTATTTGCTAAAGATATCAAAGTTTATAAAATCTTTGTATCGATCTCTACCAAATACGGAAGGTATGTGATAAAAGCAAGACCACACACTTGTGTTTTTCTAGCGAATCAGAAAGCACGAGTTTATTGCGCGGAGGAATATATATTAACGAGTGCGTGGAGCGCACGAGTGAAGATATGCTTCCTCGCAATAAATGAGTGCTTTCTTATTCGTTAGAAAAACACAAGTGTGTGGTCTTGCATATATATACCAAAGTGCCTGATGTCATAGCGTTCCAAATCATAAAGTAAAACAGTATATCATTAGTGTAACATTTACAATATACGTACAGCAATATCAATTCTAATATTGATTGGAATGTTAAAAAAGATATGTAAATTTATATCCGTAACTTAAGGCATTACGGTATTAGGTATTGTAACACATGAAGCTTTATGCAAAGTGCCAGATATAACATTTTTTTAATTTTCAGTTTCCATATCTTGTGGTGTAAATATGATTACGTAATATTTTCGTTTTTCATAAATCTGTCTCAAGATAACCGCAATTTATTATCCACGAAATTCATTATAGCTGCAGAGGAATTAAAGTATGAAATTACTAAACCATTAATGAGTCGACATTTCTCCTGCAACTTTGACAGCTATCTTCTGTGTCGGGACATTCGATAATTTGATTTTATGTTTCCCTCGTGTCTGGAACACATGGGCGTGTTTCATTTGGTAATAAGCAAATATTTAAATAAATGAATAAACAAACAAATAAAATGTACATTAAGAGATAGCATCATATGCTGGAAACTATCCTTGTTACGATAAACGCATCAATTTTAAAACTTAACTTTCGTTTTCTTAATTCGATGAATATTTTGCCCGTATATAGATTCTATAAATATGACAACATACAATTATTTTTGATTTGTTAAATTGTACTAAAACATAAATCATTTTCGATCCTAAACAATTACATTTATCAGAAGTCATATGTATATGTTTAATATATGCTTACGGAAAACACACACACTATGTTTCCCGTTAATCAATCAGAACTTAGGTTTGTCATCCATCACTGCCAAAAGTAAAGACATATAGTATGTGTTGTTTTTGGACGCGCTGTTTACATAAACACATTCTTATCACGTGTGCTCTGCATAACTGAGGTGCTCAAATACGCACACTTTCCTAGACTATGACAGGATAGTCGGGTGGCGCTATATTATGCACACTAATCTTTCACCAACACTTCAGTTGATTCGTCGGTAAGTCACGAGATCGTGTGGTGTTGCCTGACCACTTCAGTTTTTTTGCTAATAGTAGCCATGCTTTCTCCCATATAAAATCCCCTAGGCACTTTAATCTGGACCGAAAAATAAAATTTGATAATAAATACAGAAAAAAACAGCATTAATCATGTTAAGTATGATACTGAAGAATTCTTCTTTTATGTAAACATTGAATTAAACAAAATCATAATCGAATATGAAGTTTTAATAATTAAGAGGATATAATTCAATATGTAAATTGACATGTATGTAAAGAAGTCAGTATATTATTGCGAACAGAGAATAACTGCTCCCGAGATATAAAACCAAAACATTAACAAAACAACTCTGAAATAAATGTTAATACGAAATATAACATCAGATACTTCAGAGATACCAGAAACAAAAGGAAAGAATTCCTAAACAATTACAAGAAAGGCTTGGGTGAAAAGCAGGTGACATTCCTTCGAGTTATTAACATCCGACAAACTCAGAAAACATGCATGTCAACCATGGTAAAAGTTATAGAAAACTAGTTTTTAAACCTTCTACGGTAATGGAATCTTTAAGAAAGATATAAGTTAATTATTTGTCAAAGTTACTTGATAAACGTCTACTCCATTGACTCTATATACAAGTGTAAAATAACTTGTAAAAATAATTATATCCCTGCTTTTACCCTACTTCACACTCGGGAATTAGTTGGAAAACTAAAACACCACTGCAGAGCAGGGCTTTTCTGCAAGCAGTAACCGAACTATTCAAATGAAACAAAGGCGTTTGCACTGATCTGACTTTCTTGTTCCCGATCCTAAGGGGCGATATTGACAAGGTAGGTGAGTTTGCGGAACTTTAAAGGTTAAGGATATTACTTATCGTTTTATCGTTATGAAAAGTCATTTACAGAATGACATTTCGATATTTAGCAAGTTTCTTGTTCTTTGAGGCATCTCCATTGAAAAGAATCTGGTTTTGAAGAACCTGAAACTCGTTATATCGGTCAAGACTATGCGATAACTGCAGATAAAGAATCTGATGATAATGTAGATCGGCCGCGCTCATATTAGCATATAACGATGATGTAGTCCATCCAGGCCGAGCATTTTACTGGTCAAGATAACGTGCCTATCCAAAAAACCCAGTTATAATAGAACCTGCTTTGGAGTATCTAATTAGCACTGGTAAGTAGGGGAAGGCTTGATTGTTGCTACAGAGGTAAGGAAAATTAGCTATCATGTACAGGTTTAACCCGTCTCGTAGTTAATAAGTATATCAGTATTGTTATACCACAACTTCAACTAGGACATATTAGCACTATATTAAAGGGTCTGTTCTATTTAACCCTGATATTTGGATCATTGAACAGTCTCACTGACTTTAGTGCAAATGAAGTTTGTTTATGAAACATATAATTCCACTTGGAAGTGTTACAATTGAGGCAGTAGATCCTTACGTATATCTTCATTTATCCCTTAGATGTATTATTAAGGATCAAGTTAGAGCAGAAAGGGACTTCAGAATAAACGGAACAAAAAAAACAACCGGTGTCTATAAAAGTGTAATAAAAACCGTAATGCGAGCACAAAATCGGTGAACAAAGCGCAAAATATAAAGAAAGAAATTATTTACTCGAAGGCTCTTGAAAAAGTACACATATAATGAGAACAGAATTGTCGCAATGGTAAAAACCCTAGCGATGTGAGAAGGAAACCATAACACATTAAAATGAACAGAACAGAACAAGTTGATAATATTATCAAAAGAGGAAATAAAAAAGTTCTTGGAGAGAACATGATGGCCATCACAATGCTCCTCCATAGTCTTCATCAACCTACATCCCTTCGTTTTGTAAGGGCTGAAATTGGACAAGAGACACAAATGTGAGAAGATAATGGAAGGAAAAGAAACATAACTAGTCGGAAGAACTAATATTCAAAGTAAGGGACCCGCCCTAAGACAGAGAAAAAACACAGACAGAAAAAACAGCAAACAATGATATAGTCTACCACGTTGCGATGTAACGAAACTATTCATTAGTTATATCAATGTTTACTCTCTACGCAAACAATGTACGTATTAAACGTGTCGCAACGTTTCACGACCGACTGGTCCCTTTGTCAAGCTATGACTTATTAAAGATATTTCCATTGGTTAATAACCATGCTTTTTTTCCAATAGACCAACACTGCTAAAAAAAACTCCCTCGCAAATGTAGACAAGCGATTTGGTTTGATTTGGTTTAGTATTGTTTACCGTCCTTTCAACAGCTATGGTCATTTAAGGACGGCCTATCCTGTGTGCAAGATGCATGCGTGTAGTGTATGCGTGTGTGTTTTGGCAGGCTGCGATATGTTCGGGTTTGTCTCCTTGTGATAGCGCGGGACTGATGCCGACTATATAGTGCTACCTCACTGAAACATACTGCCGAAGACACCCAGCAGGACACCCCACCCGGTCACATTATACTGACAACGGTCGAACCAGTCGTCCCACTCCTTTATTGCTGAGCGTTAAGCAACAGTAGGAATTACCATTTTTACAGACTGTGGTATGTCTCGGCCAGGGGACAGAACCAAAAGCCTTCCTCACTGGGGTGGACGCTCAACTAAAGGCCAAAGGTGAGGCATTGTTAATGGAGACATTAGGGAGAAGAAAGTTGATTAGAAAGCAGAGAAACGATAAGATCCCAAATTTAGTCGCCTCTTACGATCATGCAATCGGGGCAGCAGGTACAATTCTTACGCCCTACCTACAGGGCTGGTAGACAAGCGAGGTTTCCTTTGACGAATGAGGGTACCCAGATTTAATTATTACCTCTAGGTCAGCTTAAAACTTGTCAAGATTAAGCTTAGAAAATGTTTAGACGAGCGAAGTCGATAGATCTGTGGATTCGATTGATTGAAATAAACATATGATTTAAAAAATAACGTCAATTTGGTTTGGTTAGGCTTTATTTTGTTTAACGGCTTATTAACAGCTAATTTTATTTAAGGAAATGTATCCATGTGTGCAACGTATGTGTGCTGGAGGCATGGTCTATTGACGTATTTGCCTCCTTGCGATGGCGTATGTCTGATGCCGACTTTAGAGTGTTACCTCATTAAAATTCCATACCGAAGGCACACATCACTGTAGTCCATCCGGTCACGTTGTGCTGAGAACGAGTTCACAAGTTGTTGCAATAACCCTAAATGATGAACGCTAAGCAGAGAATAACAACTACAATTTTTAAGGACTTATGTCCTGGCATGTGTCAGGAGTGCAGGGAGCGCAAGTGAGCGTATGCCTTGGAGTATCGAGGATGATATACTTACAACGGGCTAACAAGTTGTTCGATTGCCCTAATTGCTGATCGTTTAGAATGGAATAACAACTACCATATCTTAGAACTTTGGTATGTCAAAGCCTGTCGTCGTTTTCATAAAAAAATAGTTATCTTACATGCGAAATGTTTTGCCATTTAATTTACCGATGTAGGATGTTTTAATATCTTGTATATAGCGTCTCGAAATATCAGGACCGAGAAAGGGACTGACATGTAGGAGGTACCACAAGGGGATATTATAATTGTTAGGAGTAAAGTAATAAAATCTACAATGGATATTCTAATTTTACGTGTACATTCATAATGTTAAAGTATTTGTATGAGTTTGAAAATTGACATAGTACAACTTTGAAGAATGAAATCAAGATAATCTACAATGGAGACCCATTTCAGGGCCCAGTGCTATTAAAATTTGGTCAGTTGTGTACTTAATTATTGCACATATGTTTTCAAGTTGGGTAAGCGCACACGTATTAGAACCGTAATACACCCCCATTTCCCCATGGAAACTCTACTCATGGTCATCTGTTTAAAGTCTCATACTACTATTTAAATACCTCACACATGTGAATATATGTACCCCTGTACTTCGATCAACAATGGGCTGTAATTATATAATATCCAAAATACCCAAATAGCCCAAATACCTCATTAGGTTAAATAAATTCGACATCAAATATGGTATGTCAAACACATAACTAGCGCATGTGCGTGCAAGCCAAAACATATATTTGTTAAAGTAGCCTTCATGGTAAGTCTATCAACGATCTGTTATGCCAGAGACGTATCTGGTTATGCATTGATGATGGTACATTTCTCTCCAATGTTCAAAGTGGTACATATTTCAGATGTGATGTATTGTATGTAATAACCTAATATGACGTGATCAAAAAGACATCTTTTGTATACTGTGCCTATTACTTTAACATGTTTTAAGTGCTATCCCATGCATGACAGTAAAATGATGCGAAGAAAATCCTGTCGGGATTCGGGATACCGTCACTCCGGTTTCATTATTATACACCAGCATATCATTTCCGGGTATTGATAACGGCAAAAATGTACGTAGCTTAACATGATCTATTTGTTTCCGCATATCTATCATTATTCTACGATAACGACCATATACCGAGGTTCAATGCGCCTGGGATCATGAGGCCAAACTCAGAATAATAATAATAATACGAGTCTAGGCGAAAACAGACATAATTACATTGAAGGATTGCAGAGTAATCAAGGAAACAGTAATAGACTGTTTTAAGTTGAAGACAACATCGTGGGCGAAAGCAAGCGCAGTTAATTTCGGATGAACACGCACACGGCCTGACGATGTTCGTGATTTGTGAGATTTGCGATATCACCATCAACACTGGTAATTATCTTTTATAGGACTGTCACTATTTGAGCGCAAGTGTTTAATATGTCTTCAATGCTCAATCCACAGGGACCTGATAATTTGTTACAACTATATTTTGACCTATAAAGCAAAGGTCTTCTTTACACATGTACATCAACTTTCAGTAAAAATGCCACCTCCAGTAGCTCGAGTTTCCTCTGGCCCTAACATCATACTTAGACATTTTGACATATAGATGTCTGGTGTGGGCCTAGCCTAGCTGCGATAACGTAGCTTTCTGACGACGAGAGGTTTTTTTTTTATATATATTGCGTCGTCAGAGCTACAAAGCGGTCCTATGCCAAGTGTAACAGCTAGGAGAGGAAAAATGGGCGGCCAGACCTGGGTTCGAACCCGGGAGCTTCCTAACTCTAGACGGATGCTTAACCAATTGAGCTATCTGGTCGCCGACGATCAACCCAGACCAGTTCCGCTATGAATATTCCTCTCTCCTTTAACAAAGTCTTTGACCCCGAAGACACACAAGACACTATACCACCTTCTGTGGGTATATTTTGTTGGGCGCCAAATGTAACAGGAGAGGAAAAATGGACGGCCAGACCAGGGTTCAAACCTGGGACCTTCCAAACTTTAGAGGGACTCAACCAATTGAGCTATCTGGTCGCCGACGATCGACCCAGTCCAGTTCCGCTACACAACTAATGGAGCAAAATCAAAAGTGGTAATCTGTAAGATCACATACCACGACTCATATGAGTAAAATGTTATCAAAATATTGCATAATTGTTGAAAAAACGAATCCTTACCAATGAAAAAATGTTTCAAGAAATAAGCCAAGTCTGTCTTCGATTTTATTTTATATAGAAATGACCGCCATGACAGATCACTTGTGATGTTATCTTAATTATTCTTTCCATATATGGCCTGCATGGCCAAATATAGTATTACGACTGATGCCGCCATGTTTACTACAATTTCCATATTGGGTAATGACACCCATATCAAGACGCGTACGTCGGACCTATATCAGAAGAGAGACAATCTTTCCAGCTCAATTCAGATTTCGATTGCGCTTGCTACGTTAACTTGATAATTTAACGACATTTTAACTTCAAGTTATACAGGATATCAACAGAAATAGTTCATAATACAACCCTATTTATGGATGCGGACCAATGTACTGACAATTAATTCTAAAATTGCTTGCTCCATTACAAGGCATGGGATCGATTTAATACAGAGGAGGCCCGGGTATTAATATTAGTTCCATGTGCTATATGAACCTCACATTAGTACTAATATTTTTCATATAGCAATGCGCTCTGGCCCCACACCAGACATCTATATGTCAAAATGTCTAAGTCTGGTGTTAGGGCCAGAAGAAACTCGGGCTAGCTCCAATGATTACAAGGTAATTATACGAGAAGGTAGGAAAGCTCTCAATGTCGGCCCCACCTAATTTTCTCACATAAAAAAAAACACATTTCTAATTGATTTACGATAATATGCTTAGTAGTAGTAAGTGTAAGTACAGTTGGAAAGATGCATATTTTTTTTAAAAACCTCATAAATGCACTTAAAATGTATTCTCATTCTGCAGGCATAATCTTCGGTTCCTCCAAAACATGCCATTCTAAGTTTCAAAGGTTTTCGCAGTAACAGGATGTTTCGCTCTAAATCCTGTTTGCCCTAGGTTGTTTCGCCCGAAATATTTTTTTTTTAATTTATACGTTAATGATAAATATTTAAATATATCAACTTAACTTATTAATGACTTTCTTCATTGGTGTGAGGTATATTTCATGTAGAGTATGTGAGAGCGGAGTCAGCTTTTCACAGCTGCCGTTTGTCACACTCGCTTAAAAACAAGAAAAACACTTTTTTTTATGAAATTGATTTAAATGATATGGAAGACTCATTTTAATTTGTGACTTAAAACTACTTTTAATTGAAAGAAAATACCAAACAATGTTTCGCCCTAATATTTTTGTTTTAGGGCGAAACAACCTAGGGTGAACAGGATTCGGGGTGAAAAAACCCGGAACTGTTTTTCCCAGCCCCTTTTACTGTATTCAGTCATGAGGTTGATGTATGCAGCCACATGTGTGATTCTGAAAGTGTAGCCATTTTTCCCTAAAATAACCAGCCAATCAACATGTTTCAGCAAGATCTTTTCATTGACAACGAATTGGTTTTACATACAGTAGAATATTGTTATATATATTAAAAAAGAATAAAGAAGAAATCTTGTTGTTTTGGTACATGTACCAGGCTGATTCGGTACATCAGAGTAGGATGTTTCGATATTTCTTAAGGCTTTGTAAGATGAAAGGCTGAGGAATTTTGAAATATAAAACCGGCAACATGCTGGGTACAGGATGCAAACGAGTTGAAAAGTTGGTCAGTGCTGAAAATCATATATCGAATATCGAAACAACAAATTTGGGAAGTACAGTAATGTCTCTAACATGTATTGAAACATCTCGGTAACTAATCGTCGAGTACTGAAATGTCTGTACCCCATAAAGAAAACCAGAAACTACAAATTTTGGGTATTTATATACACAGTAATGTGTTAGCTAGAGAATAGATCACAGAAACTGGACCTCTGACAATACCACTTAAGGCCTAAGAATAAATTGTGTTTCTGGTTCCCCTTTAATAGACTATATTCAACAGCCTATCTGCAAAGTTTCTTACATGATTTGCATTGTTTATTCAATATGCAGTAAAAGATAAAGCACTCTTCAAGCAGGTGTTGAAGTATGGGCAAATCTGGCTGCAGAGTCCCAATATGATTGTACAAACGTAAGCAAAATATTCATATATCTGTCCAGATGTACATGTCCAGTCATCCTTTGTGATTGATTCTTAGTTTAGAATTCATTGCTGTTAAATGTATTTGATTCAGTAACATTGATATCTATATCTGTATGTTTTCTCATGAAAATGACTCACTAATAAGCACTACTTATGGCAGTTTGGAGGGGTGTGCACTGAAGACCTAATCAAAACTTTGTTAGGACACTCTTGAATTGATCATTAATTCTTCTCACAGTTAACCACTGAGTCTGTTAATAAATTCCAATCCCGGATAATGTGCAGTTCAAATGAATTTATAAATTTCCGTGTTACTAATTTTACTGATTTTGTGTTGAATTCTCCTTTTTGGCTCCATATAGGGTGTCATACCATAGTGTGTGCTGTTGTGTGCTCAATCATTTATACCAATGTCAGTGATAAGATTGGTCAGACAAAACTATATTAGGTCCTGTAAAAATCTGGTAACTATCTAACTGAATGTCCTGTAGCAGTGAAAGTGTAACACTGAAATAGGGTAGCTTTACAGTGTTTTAGATGAATCTTTGCTAAAAATAGAAGAACATAGTATTTGGTATAATTCTGAAACTCCCAATTTTGTTAACTGCATGCAACAAATTTTTACAATTTCCAAATCCACAGTCACCATTTCAAAAATAGTGAAAAAAACTGGATAACATACTGTATATCTATCTAACCATTCAAAGCAGTTGATAACAGGATACATGATAAAAAAATGCAACATTGAAAATATTGTAATTGGCTACTGGGAGGGTCCTTGAGTTGATATCTTAACCGTTTTCACCACTGTAGACCATAATGGATTCATTTATATTAATGCATGGTAGAGTCTACTAAAGTTACATAGGGGGAAAAGGGTTAAGAGTAGGTCTAGTCATGATCAGATCATGAAGTGTTTGAGTTGTGACCCTGGTTTATACCAATCCTTAAAGGTTTGTGAAAGACTTCAGTAAAATCTTATAAGTGAGATAATTGATAAAGTGGATATTTAACTCCTGGTGAGGAAAACTGATTATGAATTTTGTCCATTTACGTGAGTTTATTCTCAAATACTTGTATTTAACCTTCTTTGAAGCTAGCCAATTATACTGCAGAATGAACTCACTCTGAAACTTATGTCGGACATATAACTTTCAATCAATCATTTCTTGATTAATTCATAATCTATGATCACGATGGTTGATATAACGAAACTTTGTGCTTGTAGCGGAAGAATATGACCGCCACATCACAGGAAAACGACATATAAACCACCTCAATTATTACCGTGAGAAAAAGAAGCATGCTGGATGCAGTGTGTTTGTGAAGGGGTTTCCACCCAAAACCACAGAATGGGAAATGAAAGTGTACTTCAACAACTTCGGCCCTGTGGACAAGGTGATCTTCGACAAGAAAGATGAGGTGTGTATTTCTTACATGTAATTAAAGGTCAAAATAAAAAGTTAAATTGAATGTAATTTTCTATTATATGTTTATGAGATCTTACTATAAACTTGTTGCTTGTTAGACATCGCTTGTTAAGGTCATCATCTTTGCATGCTAAAAACAATTGTTAAAATTAATCCTTTAAATTCCAACAGTTTAACTGATAGAACCTTTCCATACCGTGATGATATCTAATTGAAATTAATTTCAAACCAATTGGGGCCATGTTTACTGAACATTTTAATATATTTCCAAGGTGTGTGTTTTAGGATTAACATAAACAGTCTTACAGTGTACCTGGAGTTTGACATTTCTTTATATTTACCTAAACCTCACGTATAGTAATGAGGATCTCTTTAAAGAATATGTTGGCCAGTTGCAAGAAAAGAACGCTTTCTACAACAACTGTCCAACTGAAGGACATCCTCTGATTATGATCATAATCACAAGTTCATGTATACATCCTGTCTTCCACTTATAGGTATTCACTGAAAATTCTCGCACATTTTTCATAGAATTGTCTCTTAACCCATCCGCACCGTCCATAGACCATAATGGACTCATCCCGATAAATGAATGGTAGAGTCCATTAAAGTTACTTAGGGTTGAAAGACTTATTGTTTATAAAAAATGTAGATAAGGGGACACTTCTGAATGTGCATTGATGGATGATTAGGTACTTTTTTAAGTATATATATATACATGTTTCGCTTATTTTTACAAAATGTAAAAATTCTTGGCCAAAGTCTTTTAAAGGCATTTTATAAATACATGTAATTGAAGTTATCAGGCTGTTGTCTTCTGTTTGTAGAAGTTCCCCCAGTATGCCATTGTAGAGTTTACATACGACCAGGCAGCCGAAAATTGTCTCCGCTACACGCAGCCACACATCGTCAACAGCACCAGACTCAACGTGAGGAAACGGGACTTCAAAGAGCTGTCAGAACAACCATATTTCCCATGGCAGAAACCCAAGTCACAACAACAACATTCTTGGAACCAACCCAGAGGTGTTCAGGCCCCACAGGGGCCACCTCAGGGTCAAGGTCATTATGATCGTTCCTGGGACAGCCAGAGAGGACATGGTTTTCATGACCCACGTGGAGACCCGGGGTATGAACCTCACTGGCAGATGGACGGAGGCTACGGAAATGATATGAGGAACTTTGATCCTAACTACGATCCAAATATTTATCCAGATTTTCAGCAGCAAGCTGTATTTGGTCACCAAGGTCAAGGCCAGAGTGGTCAAGGTCAGCAAGGACAGAAAGGTCAGCCAGGGCTCCCTGGTCAGGGGAAGAAGAAAAAGAAGAAAAAAGGAGGTGCTAACCCACAGGCTACGAGGGACAAGCCCAAGATGAAGAAAGAGGATGTAATTGACCTCCCTGTCACCGTGGAGGAATTCCTAAAGGAAATGATGTCACAGACTCAGAAAGGGGTAAGTGTCAACTGATATAAGATAAAATGGTGTTAGGGGGTCAAGAGATAAGTGCCGGTTAATAAATCCTAGAGGAAGTGACATCACAGATTCAAAAAGGGGCATGTATCAACTGATCTGATAGAAGGGTTTAAGTTATGCAGTAAGGGGTGATGAGTGTCCAGTTTTTTTTAAAGGAAATATGATTGATAAAGATGAATGTCTTTTGTTCTGACTGGAAAGAAGGGTTTAGGGGACTGACTGAGGGAGTGTCAACTTTTCTCAAGGAGGAACAGGGATAATGTGAGCAAAAGGAGTCTTCAATGATCCAGCATTGTACTGCTTGGACAAGGGAGGTTGTATTACCGTAGTTTGTAAACATAACGTTTAAAAACAAAATGACAAACAGATACACATGTACATGTTGGTTATGACCCCAAGATGAACATGCCATATAATCAGGTCATCTGTCCATCTGTCTGTCAATCCACACTATTTGGAATTTACATGTTGAAATTCAGCAATATAGTCATTTACGCAAACTGATTTGGTTTGTTTATTGATAAAGTCAATGCAATTTATATTCAGATTCAGGCAGAAATGGGGGTGCTAGGTGACATGATCCAGGTAACGTCACAGGAGCTCCAATCACGCTACGTCATCTGTAAAATTCTGGAGGATGTCCTGACCATGTTCTTCCCAGGTAACACAGCAGTTAACCTGTAACATGAAACAGTTGTGACAGATTGTTTTTTTTTAATTTTATTGTTATAGGCTAGCATGGGTGATGGTAATGTAACATAACAAAGTGTATTTGATCACAGGTAAAGTGAAGTGTAACTGCTATAAACAATATGTGTTTGAAATTAAAAAATATTTTATCAGAGCCTCATATTGTCCCTGTGGTTAACATTTTATTGTATTACATTGATTCAAAAATTAACTTTCATCATGCCATTAATGTCGCCATTCATTAATAATTTATTTAATTTGAATTCACAATAAATAAAATCAGAAATACAGTGAAACTCCACTTATTCAAACTATTATTACTAGAATACCACCTGTTCCTGGATTAGTTTGCTTGGTCCGGCCATGTTCTTGTTTAATCTTTGTAAATAAACTGCAATGGCTCGAATTCCTCATGTTCCCTAACCTATCCGTTCGTTGAACAAGCAGTTGCGTCATTTCGATTTTAATGTAACTCAAGATTCAAAGATCATATAGCTAGCAGGCCTCTTGTAAAAGTTTGATCAATTTGGACCACAATGCCTCATGTAAACTGAATTCATGAAGTGACAGGTATTACTCCACTTGAATTTGTGTGTTCAATGTCTTTGTCTTTAATTTTTCCTGATTTGCTACAACTTGTCGACTGTTACACGGAACAACAAGATTCCTCGAATTGAATGTTTCTTTTGCACAATATACCAATTTAAATAATTAACATTTAGATCAATTTGATCGCTGCTTAATGCGCTATTCAAAATTTTAATAGTCTTTGTACGCCAAGAAATCTAATGGACTAAAATGTTAATTGAGGTCCATTTTGCCTCTCGTAAGATATAATGGATTAAACATATGTCGCAATCTTGAACTCCCATTAACATTACAACCCCATGTTGGTTTGACAAGAAAATTAATCTATCTGAGATATAACCTGAAGGCCATTGTGATATCTGTACTTTCTGAAGTGTTGCTAAAGCCAGTATGACATCCGTAGCCATAATATTTGCCTATAGCTAATTTTCAAATAAAAGCGATGACTTTAAACATAAACTGTACCTTTAAGCTTGGTATCCATCATACTGGATAAGGTTCACCAGAGGGTGAATGGATATACAAGATATGAACATGATGAGACACTGTTTTTTCTATAATTTAAAATATTTGAATCCTTTACACAAGGATTAAAGATTGTTTAATTATGTACATATACATGTATGTGTGTATTTATAGGAAAAGAAAAAAAATCAGAAACACATAGATCTGTAAAGTATTGGTGAATTTAAAGCATAGCACACTGTTAATGGGAAATTTTCACCCAGTGAGACTTTTTTCTTTCCCCAGTAAAATCCATATTTGCCCAATGTTAATTTGGCCCACATTTAATAACGGTACAATTTATATTATCTTGTTAACTAATATTATACTGATGTTATGATAAAGTTTGCCATCATCAAAGAGTGTGAACAATATGAAAACTAAAGTGCAGGACACATTTTCTTGTATACAATTTGTAAATATAAAATATGATAATATCATATAGAGAAGAAGTTCAAGAAAAAATATCATACTTAATTGACTGTCATCATCTTTGGATACTTCTCCTTTCAGGCCTCATTTATTCAACTCCTGTTTTGTTGATTGTTAGTTAATGTCATGAGAAAGTAGATATTTCTGTCAAAGTTCCATGCTGGAGGTCAATTAAACTGGCATTTAGGAAGAGTTTTTGTCAAAACATGCGTAATGTATTTAAGTAGAAGCTTTTTTTCAGCATTTTCAGTCCAAGAAAGTACCTGCGCAAATAATGACATAGGAGCATAAATTACATGGGTTTTACAGTATAGAAATTACTTGTCTTTCAGAAAAGAGTTTCAAAAATAGTCTGAAGTAAATGTAGTACACTGTACTCAACAATCAATTTTATTCTGCTTCTGCTGCTGAGAAAAATTGATATTCTGCTATCGTTATTGTCTGCTGGACAAGTTTGTTTTAGTTGATAACGTATGTCAGACTCCCAGATCTTTGTCTTACATCAGTTTCAATAACAGTTTTCTTGGTCTTCATTCATTAATATGAATCATATAAAAGAGATATTTTCATAGAAATGAGTTTGTATTATGAAAAAAATGAATGTTTTATTTAAATAATTGTGAAAAAAAAAGATATTTTATCTAAATAAAAGTGTATAATAGTAACACATATTGATATCTGGATGAATGCCACTTCTAAACGATATCTGTCTACTTTGCTGTTTGCTTTATGCTTATTGCTCTTTTTAATATGTACATGCCCCATAATGTATTATAAATGTTGGTACTGTGTATTATTGTTTGGAACCTATTTTTTGTCTCGCTGCGACGAATTCGCTTAAGTAGCGGGTGTGAAACTAAGGTGTTGCTTTTACGTTGACGGCAGGGTCAATATTAAGTTTTTGCCTTTAATTAAGTTGGTTTCACTGAAAGTATAAGTGATAGACCAACCAAACTTGGACCATAGATGCATCTTAGATAGTACATCTCAACCCATGCATCAAATGCTGGAAGCGGCCTACCTTTCATGGCCCATTGACTTTGTCAGCATCTCTGATATGTGCATTGATGGTCAAAGCAGGGGCACAGGCGAGACTTAGCAATCGGAATGGCTTGCTTGTGATTTTGATAGTGATGTTGATTGATAGTAATTTTGATAGTAATTTTAATTGATAGTAATTTTGAAAGTAATTTTGATTGATAGTAATTTTGATGGTAATTTTGATTGATAATAATTTTGATAGTAATTTTGATGGTAATTTTGATTGATAATAATTTTGATAGTAATTTTGATTGTTTGATTGATAGTAATTTTGATTGATAATAATTTTGATAGTAATTTTGATTGATAGTAATTTTGATTGATAGTAATTTTGATTGATAGAAATTTTGATAGTAATTTTGATAGTAATTTTGATTGATAGTAATTTTGATTGATAGAAATTTTGATAGTAATTTTGATAGTAATTTTGATTGATAGAAATTTTGGTAAAAAGTCTTGTTCCCGTCTTCGGTATGATTTGTAGTTCAAGCACTATACATACATGTATAATGCACAACCTTATCTGTTTCTTTTACTTCGGGACAGGTGTCAGCATCAATCAGTTCGGATCCTCGGTGAATGGTTTCGGTATCAGAGGCTGCGACATGGATGTATATATAGACCTTACAAATCTTGGCATTCCGTGTCGTTCACAAGTAAGTTAACCATCTTTATAGACAAACCCATCAGTATTAGTCGTGACATCTATTTGTCAGTTCATGTACTCCTTTTTTACTCCTACAATAATGTATATGTATGTCCATATAAGTTATATATTAGCTATCTGTATAACTATTGTATTATACAGATGGCAAGCTATAGATCTAGAGTTTGTCTATATAACTGTTGTATTAAAAGCTTTCGAGTTAGTTTATATAACTATTTTATTACAGGCTATAGAGTTACCCTATATAACTTTTGTATTACAGTCTATAGAGTTACCCTATACAAGAGACATCCGATTCCTGAAGAAACAGAGGGGACCACTTGGCCATGATGATATGATCAAAATGATGCCAATCGATAAAGCCAAGCTGATTCTCCGAATCCTTATAGAACATGCACCGTCTTGTGAGGAACTAACGCTGATTCCGAGCAATCGTTGCCCAATAGTACGCTTCACACATAATGATACAGGCATCAAGTGTGACCTCTCCATCGATAACAAGTAAGTTGTGGTAGGATCTGTATAACGTATCAATGTTTCCAGAAAAAGACCTAATCAAATCAAAGATGTTGCAGACAGTGTCTACTGAATTAATTTTGAACCCCAACTTCTTAAACATTGTCTTTCATGTTTTTCTACATTTTTGTTTTCAAATGTTAAGTTTTTTTGTATAATGCTATTTTCATTTTTCATTTATTTATTTAGACAATATTAGCTTCCTTAATACCTTGCCTATTAATTGCCCACCTCAAAACTTGTGTTTGGAATAAAGTTATGCAGACTACCCGCTTCGGTAAAGGTTGATCGTCCATTATTTGCTACATAAAAACTATTACCAGTATATGTAGCTATGAATACCAGGTTCCCTTCCAACTTCAGGTACATGTAGCTTTTACCCGTACTTATCTAGCTGTGTCAACAATGTCAGCAATCAACATTTTTGATTTCAATACACCCGTGAGTTGTTTTACATATCCTTGATATACTAATAGAGCCATTCACTATCCTGATGTAAACAGGCATGGCGACTCCTACTACTCCACATAGACGGTATAACACAGTACCCGTAATATGAACCAACTTTTCACGCATACGTTCAATGATAAAACTTAATAATTTCTATAATTATGTCGTGTTTATGTTCATGATGTAAAGTATACAATTTTTGTTTTTGTTTCAAAATATCACATAGTCCGGACTTTTTATGGGTTTTTGCAAGCATTTAGTCACATTACCCGTTTCATCAGTTAGCCTGCAGTTGGCATTTTTCAATAATAAGAAACATAAAGCTTGCATACAATGCACAAAAAATGACGGTAAATGCTAGACAGAAACCAATTTGATGTCTTATGAATGGTAAGTTAGTATGGGTTAAGTTAATGTAGTTCAGTGGTACACAAGACTACAGTATATTGATGATTCTCCAGCAGCTGTAAATTCTAGGTCTGACTAACTAGAATAATGTCAAGGGAGGTTACTCTTACACAAAAAAACAGGTACTTAATATGGTTTTATCAGTCAAGTTTTTTGCTTTTCTGACAATAATTTACGGGAACATGTAGTCTCCGCCTTGCTATTTGCCCATCACAATTTCTTGTCCAGGGCTTGCACATAACCTTTACAGTGAATGAAAAAGCTTTATGAAACAAAATGATTATATATGCACTGTACAGGTCTATAGGACCATATAGCTAGGTTGTGTGCAGTGCACAGGAACCATAGATATTGCTCTGTCAAAATAGAGTTATCTCCCTTTTTAGAAAAGAAAATGTTCAGAGCATATCTTTTATTAAACTTGATACATGTGGTAGATGGACAGTGTAAAGTGAACAAGACCAACATTTAAGCATTGAACTAAAAGCAGTTCAATACTTATATTTACCATTTTAAGAATCTGTCCATCTCATGAAAATTTCAATTACACTTATCATTATTCAGCATTTAGTTCAAATATTGTTTGGATGGTGTATGGGTTTTCACTGAATAGAATAGCCATCGCCCGGGGAGGGTCAGTGATATCTAATGTAACAATTATATGACGTCATGATAATGATGACCTCAATAATCAGTCCATGGCATTCAACTGAATTTGGTAGGGTTACATAACGGCAATGCCATCATACAATGGTAAATATACCAAATTATACCAGAGTGTTGAGGATAAGTGTGATTGCTGTAGACAAAAACAAACATTAAAGATCGCTTACATATACTGTAAATGTAGTCATATTTGTTCTCTTAGAAATTCAGATTCCAGTTTAAAACTTTTCGCATAAAACAATTTGGTAGATGTCCCGAGTTTCACTGCATGCGTTGTACAGTGTTTATTTTTATGTATCCATTGTGGATAAGATTTTATATTATTTCTTTTAAAGCAACTTATCATAGTTTACATCACTTTATGAAAATAATCTGAACTGTGGCGACTAATTCCTAAAGGTGTCATTATCTGCAACTGGTTTTTTTTTCCATATAATAAATATGTTATTATAATGAGATGCACACAAACGATAGTTTGTCTAAAGGCATTCAAGAGAAAACAATTTCATTTGCCTTTCATGTCAGAATTGAAACCAGCTAACCAGAGTTCTATATACTTCTTAAAGTTCCAGATCATATATGATCAGATGGGTATTAATTGTTTCGTTTCAGAATAAAAGAAATTAAAAGAAAAACATTGTGATTGATATACAGTCGAACCTCGTTATCTCGAAGTCGACGGGGTCGTGGGAAAACTTCGAGTTATCTGAGTATTCAAGTTATGCGGGTTCATAGATTTGGTATGAAATTTGCTGTTGGGACATAGCACTAGCAGTTGTTGGTTTTATTAATAGTTAATGCTTTTAATCAATTGGCGCTATTGAAACCAATATTTTACTTCGAGGTATCCGAGGTTTTCGACTTTTCAGGGTTCGAATTATCAGAGTTTTATTTACTAAGATAAAGAACAGATTTGGCCGGGACCGGAGAGATACTTCGAGATAAACGGGGTCTTCGAGTTAAAAGAGTTCGAGATAACGAGGTTCGACTATAATTAAAAAAGGAATGTTTTTTTTAGACTCGCCCTGCAGAACACCCGACTGCTTCAGACGTTGAGTCTATATGATCAACGAGTTCGCCCCCTGGTGTATGCAGTGCGGTACTGGGCCAAACTTAAGGGCTTGGCAGGGAACCCACGAGCCGGACCAACTCTCTCAAACTACGCTCTTACCCTCATGGTCATCTATTATCTACAGAACCTTCGCCCCAAGGTCCTGCCAACTGTACAGGAAATGGCCGAACTATGTGGTATGTTATACATGCAATGACAAATAGTGTTTGTAGTTTATTATTATAGAGGTGATAAGACTGATCTATGTTTTGAGTTTAACAGGAAGTGACTGATGTATGTTGTTGTTTTAACAGGAAATGACTGATTTGTGTGATACTTGCGCCATTGTTGTAGTTATGTCATGATGAATGAAACGTCTACGTTTTAGGAAACCAGCGTACGATAATCGGTCGATGGGACTGCTCCTTTGTGGCGGCCCAGTTTATACCTCCTACCATGAATTCACAGACAAACGGTAATTATAATAATTTAGTATTTTGTCCTTGAATTAACTCTACAGTAGTGCTTTGATTTCTTTTTTTGCATTAAAAAGCTGTGCAAAATAAAGATGTGTAATGAATGAATATTTGATCCTACGCCCCCTGTTGGACCCTGCCCCTCTACCCCAAGGGGACACACTCTTTTGCTCAGGGATACATTTTCTAAATTAGGTTATAATTCTTTCACTGCCTTTTTAAGGAGACGTCTTAAAAATAGAAACCCCAGTTTACCCATTAGGGCCATGACCTTCTGCCCCTTGATTTAAGCAGCATAGGGTTAAATATTCGTAAGATTTGTTCAGAACAAGTGAAAAATATTAACCTAATTTTGGTGAACAGGATCTTATACTTTGACCAATTGATTTTAAATTTTATAAATATGAATAAGGGGCGTGGATCCAGAGGAGCAGGTTTTACCAGTTATAGGAGTTGATGTCTAAAACCTGTTTTTAGGTCACCTGAGACAAAGTCTCAAGTTTTATTAAGCATGGATGAATAATTTTTAGCTCACCTGGTCCGAAGGACCAAGGTGAGCTTATGCCATACCGCAGCGTCCGTCGTACGTCGTCCGTCGTCCGTCATCCGTCAACTTTACACTACTAGTCATGAACCACTCAGTTGGTTGAACTTGGTTTCTACTGGCAAGTCATAAGGCAGTGTTATATTCCCTGTGAATAAAGTGTCTTCATTATTTGACAATGGCAAATTAAAATTTAATAAAAAAAACTAGAAATGACACGTTTTTCGTAAATAACTAGAAATTACACGTATCCCGTAAATCTATTGTTGAGTTGTGTTGGTGATTTTAAAAATTTATAGCCGTTTTTGACTAATACTTTAGAGAAATACCTAACTGTTGTTATATTTCCACAGAGGAGCTGTTGACAGGTTTTTTCACCTTCTTTTCGGAGTTTGATTTCCACACCTTAGGCATGTATACAAGGACTGCACAGTCTTTCCCTATTGCAGAGGCAGCGAACAGCGGTGTCGCTATGAAGGTAAGAGGGACCATCCAATCTTTATACCCTCACCGATCTTTATACCCTCAGTTGTCAAGGAACTAGGAAAGGGCAAAGAGTGATCACTATATCATGAAATGTCAATATCAAAAATGTACATTACTATTGAAAGAAGATGCCTTGGGCAACAAGTCAATTGGTACCCTGAGGTCAAATTCACGGCAAGGGGTGAAAGGCCAAGTCACCAGAAATCTGGTTGAAATCCTTTTCCAGTAATATTCCATTGGTGTGATTCCCCATCTTACACATTGTGTTTGGGAAATGACAATCTTGTAACTCCTCTTATTTCAATGAAGATATATACTTGTGAGTACTTAGGGATCTCCGTACCACTGTCAAAAAATGTAACTACACATTGGAAACTGTTTTTTCCAGCATGATTTAAGCTTTGATTATTAATTTTTGAAAAAGAATACCATACCTTGCCTTGCGGGATTGTTATGGAAAAGAAATAGTGAAGGGAAGGTGTAATAAACAAAATGTAAACAATATAATTGTTCTGCCAGTTCAGTGGGGCTAGAGACTGTTACGAACCCTTGACCTCAGATAGTTATACTGTTTGTTCTGCCAGTTCAGTGGGGCTCGAGACTGTTACCAACCCTGGACCTCAGATCGTTAGACCGTCGTTCTAGTTGACTGAGCTACCTAGTCAACAGAAGTGTTCTGGCCAAACTGTACTACAGTTCTGTCCAAACGAAATTAAGGGGAGGTAACTGACCGAAAATCGGAGTGCAGTGGAACAGGGTCCTTACAGTTTCCCTTGAGAAAGATCCATTTTGATTGTATTGACCTTGTTGTTTACAGATTGGGATGTTCAACATGCAGGATCCGTTTGTATTAGACCACAATATCACACTTAACATAAACGAGAAAATGCGACAGCTTATTGCCATGGAGTTTCGCGTGGCAGCAGCTAAAGCAGCAAAGTGGCAACTTGCGGAGAAGGCTGCCACCAAGACCATACTAGATCTGTTCACTGAGGATGTCCCAGAGGGCGTGGTAAGTCGACGTTTAACAAGTCCCTACTACTCGGTGTTAACAGTACAGTTAACCATTTTGTGCCTCACGATTGAATGAGGACCAATGTGGTCTGAGCAACTGGAGTTAGTTTCTCTGATATGTGCATTGATGCTCAAAGTGGGGCATAATAGGCCAGACATATCAATCCGAATCGCTTGTATTTGTTTATATGCATTTAGCCTTGATTGGATTTGAATGATAGAAAGGAAGTGGATTTGTTAATTTGGAGGTACACAATGTTTTAGATCAATACTACTATGTATACGTAACATTAAAACCATTGTAACATCATTACCCTCCTTTCTGTCTGTAGGATTATAATGAAGCTCCACATCAGTGGTCAGTTTGTTGCTACCTCAGAAAGTTTCATGTTTTAGAGATTTACTCATGATTAAGGAATGAAATTGGAAGGGTCATTCATGCATGTCTCCAAGCCTTGGTCTTCTTTTCTTGGAGCTACAAAATTTACAATTTGGTAAAAAACCCAACACAAACTACTGGGAAAAGTCCAGCGGAAGTGAATTCAGTATATATAATATCAGTCCCTCTGTTTTAACCCATTGCCCCTGATGACACATTTGAACCCTTCCAATTCAAAGTTTGGAATAGATCATTATGAAATTTCAGTGATGAATGAGTTAACCTTGCCTTGAACCTGTATTGTGTTAAAATTTGTGAGTCATATATGACGCTTGCATTTCAGAAATTTACTGACCTTACCTGTAAGACAACATCTGGAATCCAGCTTGGAGAATACCAGTTTACCATAGAGCTCAAGATGGACTCCTTGGACCAGAGTCTGCTTCACACACTTAGGAAAACTGGCAATCTACAAGTCGCTTGGTGTAAGAAGATGTGTGTATTTGCCTATGGGATTCTGGAACGTGTGCTTATGTATGATATAGAAATCAACAAGACAAATGTGACAGAACCACTGCCAAAGTCACGCTACTATGATCACAAACCAAAGGGCAGGAAACGCACAAACAGCTCAGATGCAGTTGAGGCAGAGAGTAAGAAAACAAAAACGGGGACAACAGAAAAACCGGAAACTTCTACGGCTGGACAGAGTGCTGCTGAAAAAGATGTGGAGGCTTCAACAAGTCTTGAAGCAGGACCAGCATCTGCATCTGCATCTGCATCAGTGCCTGGGGCTGGGACTGGGACAGTGTGTACACCAGAAGCAGGAACAGGGGCGGTGCCTGAAGCAGCGCAACAGGAGGAGCCAATGGACGAGGGAGCTGCCATTTCTGAAAGTTACGAAGATGCAGATGTGTACCTTGATATGGATCTCAAGATATTCTGTAGAACATGGGCAGAGCGCAAAAAATTCCTCGCAGCATTCAAGGAGCGTGGTTACAGTGACAGTGTCGAGTTAGAACAGGCCGTGTCAGAACGCCTGTACTACGACCACTTCAAGACGGCCAGGTTCCCTATCGTGGAGTACAACTTCATTGTCAAGTCCATTGTGAACGGCAGTAATGCTGTGTTGCTGTTTACTGCACAGGGGGACAAAGATCAAAAGGAGTTCTACTGTGTCTTTCATTACATCAAAAAGTTCCTTACAAAAATGGCGGATAAACATTTCTCTTAGAAGTTCACATTGGGTCGATTCTCAAATACTGATACTTTTTGAAGCAAAATATCACATCGGATGATTTTTGAGTACCTCGCAAAAGTGATCTCTTTGGGAGATTCTGATTACTAAAATTACTCCTGAATCATTGCATTAGGACTTTTTAGCAGGCTGATCATGACTAATGGCCATTTTAGGAAAAAATGTACATGTTGATTGAGGGTTTCTCATTCATGTACATGGTTATCCTTTAGAGTGATTGCAGTCTATATTTACATACAAATTTCTTCGGATTTTGACATGTCAGAAAATTTTAGCATACAGTAGGATTGAAACAGTATTGAATCTGAGGAAAATAACCCTAAACAATAGGCTAATCAGAAGTACATGTAGGTAGTAAGAGGTACCGTAGGCCACAAGAGGCTTAGCAACCAAAACCAAACTTCAGATATTAGCTTAGTATGTGTGGGAAGTCTTTATTTGATGCACCACCCATCAACACTATACAAGAAAATGACTGGGAAAAAGTAATGAATTCCCGGTTCTATCCTCAGTTAGCATCAACACTATACAAGTTAATTACTGGGATTGAAAAATGAATTCCCTGTTCTATCCTCAGTTAGCATCAACTCTATACAAGTTAATTACCGGGATTGAAAAATGAATTCCCTGTTCTATCCTCAGTTAGCATCAACTCTGTACAAGTTAATTACCGGGATTGAAATATGAATTCCCGTTTCTATCTTTAGTTAGCATCAACACAATACAAATAACATTACTAATGTAGATCTAGGGTTCCATATCCTTGATGAACTCAAGATCACACATCAATGTCACTCTGAGTGTGTTACTGATGTAGGTGCAGTATTCCTTGTTATAAACTTGTGGAGTCTGAGATTGCTTATCACCACCCTACCTTTGTTTGATTTGAAGTTTTGTTAAAACATTGATTTATAGACGAGTGACAAATATTTGAGGATTTCATAAAAGTAATTGTTTTTAGACCTTTGTGTAGTGGTCATGAGTGGCTGTTATACTGCAATCAACGCAAACATCTAATGCCTCTCTGTTGAAACAACCTTGTATAAGTAATTAGTTCGTCAGAGTCTGGTCTGTTAATGTAAAAGCGGGTACATAACAACTTTAAATGATTTTTGACAAGAGTTATTTCCCTTCTGGTATCACATAAATGATTTTTGACAAGAGTTATTTCCCTTCTGGTATCACATAAATGATTTTTGACAAGAGTTATTTCCCTTCTGGTATCCCATAACACTCATGTCTGGATGAATAGTCACACTAAAATTTTCATTCAGTTTCGTTGAAACTGTGTTAATCAGCGTCACAATCATAAGTAAATATTTGTCAAATACACTGTTCTCTTGATTCTCTTGATAATTTTCAGGAAAAGGAAACATGTATATTAAAGGCATTACTTCAGTCTTTGGCATACAGCTCCATTTCTTATCTCATGTTGCTTTGCCAATTGAAGCTCCCTCTCTATAGTACATCGTAAAAAATGTGAATCGTAATTTTGTGCGATGCTTAGTGTATTCTGTGTTGTTGGTGTTGATATCACTACTAGTACTGTAGGAATTGACTTTCAGAATAAGATTGATCTGTTCGGAATAATGAATATATTCAAGTATAATTTGAAAAACAACTTTGTTTTTCTCATAAATCTGAATGCACATGTTTTCTTTGTCGAGAAAATTGCACCGAAAAATTTGGTCGTTGTGTTTACAAACAACTCTCTAAGCAATAGTAGGCGGGAACATTTAAATCAGCTGTCGAAATATTTATCAGATCAATACAAGTTGTTTCAACTGCCCTCCAATAACATAACCAATGCGACAGACAGGTGAATATTTTGCTGGAAAGTATGTACATTTTCTGGAAATTTCATCAGCTTACATGTTCAAGTTCTAAAGTGTCCGAAAAAAGTTAAATACAAACAGTGTAATAAAAACAAGTAGGAGAAGAATAGGAATTGTATCACAAGTAATTCTCGACTTTCCCATGCTTTTCGTGGCAGGGCCATATACAGAATGCAGTGCTTTTGTTAAATTGTAAAAGATTGATCAATAGATTTCACAGGACATCAAGACACATGCCCCATGTCTTGAAGAGCATCTTTCATTTCATTTGTTTTCAATGTTCATTGCATTATGATCCGTGCTAAAACATTCATTTACTCATGGAGATGTACAAATAATTTTATTCAGTCATGATCACTATTTGAGACTTTATGGATTACCAAGGCACACGTCGTGTACATGGAAATCTAGAACAATTGTAATGTCTACAATTTATCTAAGTGCAAAGTACACTTGGAGCGAGAAGTATATATACTTCACCATTCAATATGTTATACTGTAATACTACTATTTGTTAAAGCGATTTATTTTGCAATCAGCAACGATTATGTTATTTCTAGTTTTAGAAATGTGCTGAGTGTTTTAAATGTCTGAATCTTTCATTATCATTTTTGTTTGTCTTGAAGAGTGCATTTTTTCATGTCAATATGAAAAATTCTGAAAATATCGATCTATACCAATCGATATTTATCGCATTGCCATTATCATTTAATCATCAGTGTGAAACACATGTCAAAAATAAATTCATTTTGTATCAATTTACAGTTGTTCCAATTGTCAATCCAGTATTACCTTTAATTGCCTGAAAACTCTTTACAGTAAATAATTTCATATACAATTTAATTCATGATGGATGATTTGATAAAAAATTATTGAAACAAAAACATTATTTGGAGACTGTAGACCTCATCCAAATCCATAACCCTACCATGTCGTAGACAAAGAGTAAAAAATAATCACCTAATCATAGTATCCCATGCTGTAGACAACAACAGGAGAAATTGATCACCCAATCAATAACCCTACACTTAGTATCCCATGCTGTAGACAACAAGATGGTAAATTGATCACCCAATCAGTAACCCTACACTAAGTATCCCATGCTGTAGACAACGAGATGATAA